CTTTCATACATACTTTCATCTTGTTGCGTTTGTTTTCATTCCTTGAATTGATTATTTTGGTAATATATACATATATTTTGTGAATGTTATGGTGTCAAAGTCATATTATTAATAAATCAAGGCATATTATTAAACATTAGAAAAATAACCTCAACAAATAATCTCCTATCATTTGCACATACACTTTTTACACTTTGAATATACTACTAGGTCAAACAATAAATTATTCTAGATGTTAAATATTTTTTACAGTCAGCTATACATTTATATAGGTTATATTTGTTGTCGTGGAGATTCAAAAATGGTAAAATAACCGCAATTATCTTTTGAAGTAAATATATGGTTTCAAACGTGAACAAAAACATTCACTAAAAGTAGTGCATATCAAGTAATCAAAGTATTTTTTATCTGTAAAACTGTGAAATCATCGATTTTTCTTCATTGTATCCACATGTAGACTTGTGATAATGAATAAATTTCGCACTAATTATACCAATAATATTACTTAAAAGTAGAATTTAGTATATGTGTCCTGTATACCTTGAAGATTTCTCGTCTCAACGTACGTATTTACACATATCCTCGAAATCAGACTCTGAAGCTTTATCAACCAGGCACATGATTCAGTCATTTACATATTTCCTGTAGATGATATATCACTATTTAAAGAGGTTTTGGTTTAGTCAACAATTAAATAAATAAAACTCTACTAGTTCATTCAAATCACGTGATTCTCCCAGTTTAGTTTTTATCTAATAATTTATTCCGAATAACAACGTAATAGGAATTATATGCTATTTAACAAAAAACCAGTCTATCAAACGGAGTGAGTTTCTGGTCAGGATTTGGAAATTATATTTACATCACTTGTGTCGGAACCACTACTTCCAGTAGTCTTTGTTTTCTCATACTTTCATGTTTTTTAAATTGCCTACAATGTGTTTGCTTTATGTTATGAGTGTTGATGTAGATTGTTTGCAACATAGCTACAGTAAAAACACACACTAGTTTAATAAAAATACCGACAAATCAATGTAAATAAACACCAACATTTATCATGATTTATTTTAAGGTATATTCATTCACTACAAAAATATCATATTAGCAAAACTGTATTTCATACTTGCTGAATTCAGACATAATAAATTGGGCATTTTTTTTAAAGTCTTAAACGATGAATAAACTACTTGAGACTGCTATCTAGTTTAATGATTCGTCAGAAAATGCAGGTCTGTGGGAAAATCATTTGTGAAATAAAAAGAAGCTTTAAAGGTTATTTACATTTATAAAGCACTTATAACAAACATCGCTGAATAAAGTAAATTCATTTCAATCCGTGTTCACTATGCATTCTACATGAACATTCATTTTCCAGACAGTCAGTAAAAGGATGAGTAGGGTGAAAAATATTCTTTTTCAGTCGGTTTCTCATCATGGCTCTCTCTCTATATATATATATATATACGATAAAGAGCTTTGTTTTGCTTACATCGTGGAGACAAGACATCAGCTTGCACTTAATAAAGTTTTCTAAGTTATTTACGATGCATCACCAGATTTATCACATGATTTACGGGTTTATCGTTTGTATATCGACATAGCTTTCATAATTCCCATTCAGAAGTCTAACTATTGTACTCAAAAGAAGTTAGTATACCTTGGCCATCGACATATTTCATACAAGCGTGAGTAAGTCTATATTCTTATATTTTCTAAGTGTTCCATTAAACTAGGTGTTCTTACAGTTTTAATATCTATCTTCTAATCCTTATTTCAATTTATTAGTGTCAGTTCTTCACCACACATTTTAGCTATTATCGTCATCAATACCGAACTTTTTATGAAACATTTTGTGAACCCTACTACTAACAATCCTCTGAGAATTTATTCCAGTTTGTTCATTTGCTGACAATTAAGATCTGCTTGGTGAAATTATATCTTTAGTGGATTAGCGTTTGTCCTTTAATTTATTCTAACACTTAATGATACATTATTGAGATAACTATTCCAATTTCATTTATATCAAAAAAGGTTTATTAAAAGAGGGACTAAATAAATATATTTAAGGATAAAAATATGTTACAAATTAACCAAAATAAACGTAAATGCTAGAAAACCTAACGATTTTTGATTAATTATTAGTATAGAATGAGCGTGGATAGCTAAAAACAACCGATTACTTACTTACTTACTTACGCCTGTTACCCCTTGTGGAGGCCGCTCACCAGCATTCTCCATCCAACTCTGTCCTGAGCCTTCCTTTCCAGTTCTTTCCAGTTGCTATTCAGCCTTTTCATATCGGCTTCTATTTCCCGGCGTAGTGAGATCTTTGACCATCCTCTTTTCCGCTTCCCTTCCGGATTCCAAGTTAAGGATGATGCACATTGGTGATTTCTTTAATGTATGTCCGATCCACTTCCAACATCTTTTCCTAATTTCCTCTTCAGCTGGAAGCTGGTTTGTCCTCTCCCATAAAACGCTGTTGCTGATAGTATCCGGCCAATGAATGTTGAGTATTTTGAGTAAACAACTGTTTATAAATACTTGTACCTTCCTGATGATGGCTTTGCCAATCCTTGTCTTTACATCTGCATCCGATCCTTCTTGTTTATCAACGATGCTCCCCAGGTACTTGAATGTTTCCACCTCTTCCAGGGTTTCGCCATCAAGTATGATTGGGTTGGTGTTCTCCGTGTTGTATTTGAGAATTCTGCTTTTTCCTTTGTGAATGTGGAGGTCTATCGATGCGGAGGCTGCTGCTACATTTGCTGTCTTCATCTGCATTTGTTCGTGTGTATGATAGAGGAGGGCTAGGTCATATGCGAAGTCCAAATCATCTAATTGATTCTGAGAAGTCCATTGTATTCCGTATTTCCCCTCAGATGTCGAAGTCTTCATAATCCAGTTAATCACTAGAAGGAAGAGGAATGAGGAGAGTAGACAGCCTTGTCTGGAAATGCATCTGTCAGCTGTCCTCCATGCACCACTTTGCACTGTAGTCCATCATATGAGTTTTGGATAATGTTGACAATCTTTTCAGGAACTCCATAGTGTCGAAGAAGTTTCCATAATGTTCTCCTGTCCACGCTGTCAATGAAGTTGATGTATAGTGACGAGTTCCACTCAACTGACTGTTCAACGCTGATCCGTAGTGTCGCAATCTGGTCCGTGCACGACCTATCCTTACGGAATCCAGCCTGATGATCCGTAAGTTCGGCGTCTACTGCGTCTTTCATCCGATTCAGCAGTACTCTGTTGAAAACTTTTCCTAGTACTGATAACAAACTGATGCCTCTGTAGTTCTCACATTTGCTTAGATCTTCTTTCTTGGCTATCTTGATGATGTATCCTTCTTTCCAGTCCATTGGCACTTGTTCCTCTTCTCAAATCTTTTTGAATAGAAGGTGAAGAATGTTTGCAGTTATTTCAATGTCTGACTTCAGCCGATTATAGGGCAAAATATCTGATCAATTATTTTTATAAACACTACAATACATATATATGTTGATAAAATGATCACTTTTTATCATTCTATCATATTTTGTTTATCTTAAAATTTATTTCATTTGAAAATTACAATAATTTTCAAAGGTCTTCTTTCCCCAGTCACAACAACAATTACTATCCATCAATTTACAGCCACCTAATTTCTTTGATTGTGTCCAAGAACGATTAATAATAAATATTTTTATCTTCAACTTAGTATTGTTTGTTTGAATCTTCCCATCGACTTTGTTAGGACTGCAACTGGTCAGTCTCTAATTGACATATGTGCATACTGTGCGTATTGCCTCGATATACCTTAATTCACAAGCATGGTTAGCAGAGATGGATAGTGGCTAGCAGTGGAATCCAGTTTGACGCTCGTTTCGTCCTATTTGAGACTCGTCAGCTGGATGTACCTGCATCTCAGAGTTGATGTTCACTCTGGGACTCAAACCCAGTACCCTCGCTTCAAACGCCATCGCGTTATCCACTCGGCCACTGAGTCCTGATAGCCATTTATTTTTATAATTAATAGCACATAGGTTAAAAGGTTAAAAAGACCAAAGAATGTTTCACAAATAATTTATTATTCTAAGAAAACAACTTCATCTAACACTCATTTATGGTTAGCATGGATTGAGAATGCTTTAATCAAAGTATACTATGTAGTAATATATAAGTGTTCCAGTTTTTTTATTCAAAACGACTAATAGTATTGCTTTTCATAGAAAAAACATTATTTTCCGATTACTTAAAATTCTAATTTTCAAACACAAAATATTGACTTATGATCTCAAATATTGAATTTACTATAATATACACAAAACCTCTTCTGATATTAATCAACATATGCTCACTAGTGACTGTCTTTAAGAAGTATTTCCTGGAGTTCTAGTGAGAAGCAGTGACCAGTGAAGCTCAACCAAGTCTGTTGTGAGATAGTAACTCACTGAAGACAATGGTGGATGTATCTCTCAATTTCGTAGATTAGTTGAAGTTAGACATTAACACGTTGTATGGTGGCTGGCTTAGTGGTCTAGAGGTTAATCGCTCACGCTCAAAACTGACTGGTTCTGGGTTGGAATTTCGCGAGTCGGAATCATGGATGCGCATTGCTGAAGAGTCTCACGATAGGACGAAACGGCCCTCCGGTGCTTCTAGGTTTACCATAATGGTCTAACTTCAATTGACTCATAACCTCAGCTATTGAAATTACAAAATATTCTCTTATTATTTAATTATCTTATTCTAAACCAATCAGAAAGTTATTTAATCATAAATTGTTTTATTTTGTATATACATATAATACAAATATACACACATGTTAAAGACAATAATGATTGATTTTTGAAATACCGGCCGGTACATTCGATATAATTTAAATAAACTTATAAAAATAACCAATTATTAAAACAATTAATTCCTATTGGCTATAATAATTTTCACAATAGTGTGTAGTTAAATAAATCTATGAAATTACCTTATTTTATATAAAAATAAATTACAATAATTTTATATTCATATTAGATATATTACTAATAAAGATTTACCCTTAAAAAAACGAATAAAATTATGTCTATATTGATACATTCTATTCTCTATTTAACACTATTCTGTTGTATATTGATAAATGGACAACGTGATATTATTGGTAAGTTATTACACAGTGTTATGTAATCATCATTTAAAGATCTAAAGATTTAAAGATTTAAAGATTTTATATTAAAAGATTAAATCTTTTGTTATGTAATAAGTTTGTTTAATTCGCTATTACAGTAATGAAATAGTAACCTAAACCCATTTTAATGTGTTTTATTATATAAATAATTCAGTGTTTAGTCAGATGTTTAAATTGCTTGAACAATTTAAGCAGAATGCTTTATATTGAAAGATTTATGTTAATTTTAACTTCGTATATAAGATGTTTGTCATGTTTTAACCAGACTATACGTTCAATAATTTCGTGATGACCTCTGTTTCATTTTTTAGCGGTAAAAAAAGATTTAAATTTAATTTCAAATTATTTTACACTTTCACTTTGTATTATTTACTTACATCTTCCGATTGTTGTTTAAGATTGAAATTGATCGGTCCTTTCTTGGTATATGTGTATCCTATGTGGATTGCCTCAATATTGACTTAAGTCACAAGTATGATAAGTGAAGATGGATAATGGGTAGCAGTGAAATCCAGTAGGCGTGTTTCATTATATTTAGAACTCATCATCTGGATGTATCCCAGAGTAATATTCACTTCGGGATTCGAACCCAGTACCGTTCGTTTCAAACGCCATTGCGTTATTCACTTAGTTACTGAGGATGAAATGCGAGTCCTGGATTCTACTGCTAGCCACTATCCATTTTTTTATTTTACACTTTTTTGAAAGTTCTAAATTTTTCGTCAGTAATTTAGTAAGATTTAAAGCATATAACATAAAACGGTAGGTTTCAGAAAACATAATATTATTAGATATCGCAATTGTATGAAAAAGAACTTTATCATTGTAAAAACTAGCCCTAATACATGTTTATTGAAAGAATTGAAAATAATAGTTGGTTTGACTTATCCAATATATATTGTCGAAACTTGTGATTAAGTTGGATTTCTACTAGATTAAACTATTGAATTGAGTTGTTTCCAGGGTTTCATCAATTTTTGTTGATGTACAGTATAAATTTTAGATTAACATTAAAGTTTGAATTTTGTTGATCAAAAATATTGTACTAGACCTAGTTAGAAACAGAATTTTCGAATGTTTCAACAGAAAAGGTTTTTTAAATCTTCATATAAAGTTTTCATATGTTACAAAATCATGTCATCAGAGTGTCTTTTCATAATGAAATTCATATAACTTTTGAATTTTCCTTATTTGCTCACTGATTCATCTTATAGTTTAACGTATTCGAATTCGAATTCTTACTGTGTACTATACAAAAATTAAAAATTTTATTTTGATTTATTTATGCATTAAATGATAATAATGTATCAACCTAATTAATTTAGATTAAGGTCCAGCTAAATAAATGATAATGATGAAAACGAATAAGAAATACAGTAACTATTTATGCTGGTTTTTTTAAATAGCGACCACTTACAATGCTTTGATTATCAAACTACTGTAATAATGTTGTGTACGTGAACACAAGGGGAGATAATCATATGTATTTGAACATAAACTTACAGAACACCTTAGTAAAATCTGAGAACCATACAGTAAATACTTAATTTGCAAAATATCCATCGATTATCTCAAACTTGATTGTTACTTCTTCAAATGTCAGTCAATCGTCTCAGACTTTACTGTTCCTTCATTTCCACACCAATCATTCTATTTTCTAGTACTTTTTTCGTCGATTTTTTTAACCTTTCGTCGCCAGGCATTTCACTTTTGATTAATGTTACATACTGCCTAAATCTGTCAGTAGCATACACCACTATAATCTCCACTTTTGTAAATAGACTAGGCTTTTAGTGTATGTTTAAAAACTTCATTAAGTATTCATTATTTATATGATAATAACTTGAAATTCTATCACCTTTTAAAAGTATGCACTTCGATAATCGTTTGTCCGAAAGATATATATATATATATAAACTTTATAGAAGCTATATACTACTTAAAACATGATCAGTATTACTGTTATTTAATTCACAATAAAATAAAGTAATTCACCAATTCTGATAATTAACTAATATTCTTCATATTATGATATTAGACTACATTCTAATGATATTTGGGCATCATTTTTTTCTCTATACAAATATCATGTACATGAAAATCTACTTAACTTATTCATTTTTTTTCCCAAAACTCTTCATTGAATACTTTTAAAGAAATTAAAAAAAGACCAACCTTTGTATAAACTGTATTAATTAAGATCTAATTGCCAGTAAGTTCATTAAATACTATTACAATCAAGTCAGTTCAATTTACATTATTCAATAATGAATATTAACTAATATTGTCTTTGAAATATAATGTCTTTATAATGTAACTTATATAATTCATTTGAATAACTGAACTGCTTCACACTTATGGCTTTTATATAGTTGAAATGATGAATCAATTGAAGCTAGATCACCATGGAAAACCTGGAAGCATTGGACGGCAGTTTCGTCCTATTGTAAGACTCCTCAACAGTTCCAATTGACTCATGATCTCAACTATATAAAATTACTAAAATCTCCATAAAACCCTCTTCTGACTTATAGCTTTACCAAATAACTGTTATAATGACATTTTAAATAATAATATGATAGCTTCTTAACCTGTGGAAGGACATTAGTGATAGAATATAATTACTTCTAGTTGAAAATTTCAAATGAAAACAAAATTTCAATTATGAGTTCTCATGTTATACAAGATTCAGAATATTGTGAACGAATGCAGTTTTATAACTCAGTTGTATTATGAGCTACACTTTTCAAATACAATTGAAGTTTAAAGCATAGCAAATACAAAGATGAATCAAGCACTTTACAATGAAATATTATATTAACATTTTATTTGAATGTGAATAAAATGAATGAAGGGATCAATAAAATATCAGTATAATACACTAGACAATTTTATTATAGATAAGGAATGTGTAAATCTGTCAAAATAGGATCATTAAACAAATAAATGTATGTGAAATTCTCATACAGTTACGAAGGTATAGTTGAGTCACAAATAATTACTCAAATCAGAATTTCTAGGATATTTAGCAAGAAATATGTTTTTGGCCTGCTAAACTGGAATCAAGTTGCCAATGTTTCCAACTCTTCATGACTATGAAAGACATTTATTGACCATCTAACTAAAATACCTCTGCAATTAAATGGAAATGTTCATTATGAGAAAAATGGAAGGATCCATATTTTTATGGTATACTCTTGCGAAATGGTATACTTTTACATATTGAACTAAACATCTAACTACTTTAAACAATCTTCATAATACAATGTTGGAGAAAAACTGTCGTTTTTTATTCTTATGCGTGAAATTTATCAGTTCATAAATAGTCATCTAAGCCTGGAATGAAACATACACCAAGTGGTCCCTACATTTTATTAGATTTTCAATCGATGTCATACTCTGATGAAAAAAATCTCCGAATTGACAAAAGACTATCTAGAAACTATCTAAATAAATACAAATTATTTTGTGAAGACATTCATCCATTTTTGATAGAGTAGCTAGAACAGAAATATTTTATACAATCCAATCAGAACTAGCGTATTTATACTTAAAGATTATCAAGTAGGTATTCTGGCAATTTTAATAGTGTATCAAGAACACGAAGATTATGAGATATATTGATTGATCTTAGCTTGGCTTTTGTAGTGTTGTAGTGTAAAAGGGCGCATACTAAGGTTTACTGAAGCCTAAGTCATACGAAAATTCAAACCCCTTTGTGTATTCGAAATCAGTTTGTTCTCACCTTAAACCTACCCTGGTAATGTTAGCTTACTATCCAGAGTGATTAAGTGTCAAATTGTTTCCACATTATTTTTTATCATTATTATCCTTGTCTATTCTTACCCCTATTTCCAGTCTAGTTGACCTTTTATTTTTTATATATAAATATTCTTAACAAGTATATAGTATAATCAGATTGTTCGAAATGTATTGCGCTAATATATGAGATAGTTCTGATAATATAGTATCCTCTTTGTAGGTATCATTACCAAGTTATGATTTGATAATCTTGAATATATTGAGCATTGGGTAGATTGTTATTAATAAATAATTTATTTGTAATATCCCACTCTGAAGAAGTGGTTTACACTGAGTCATGAAACGTCAGAAGATCGAATTTTCCTACTCGTTCGGATATTACAAATATATTAATTTATTTATAGTATCCTCTTATTTGTTTATTTCATAGGACTTTCATAAAGTATCTATCCATAGAGAACTTTTAAGAAATGAAATTCTATTTCACTTAAACTCTCATCCATTCGTAAACCATAAATCCATTATAGATATCTTTAGCAAGTTTTGATTTGATAATTTTGAATAAATTGAGCAGTGGGTAAATTGTAATGAGTGTATTTATAATATCCCAATAAGTAGAAAAATTAGATTTTCTGACGTTTCGTGACTCAGTGTAAGCTACTTCTTCAGAGAATAAATGGTTTACACTGAGTTAAGAAACGACAGAAAATCTAATTTTTTCTATTCATTGGAATATTACAAATATATTATTTATTTATAACATAAGTCCATTAGTTGCTTGGGAATTGAAATATGATAGATTTAGGAAAATTCTATTTATTAACACATATTATCTAGGATATTAAACTGACAAACCATGGATTATTTTATCTATGACAATTGGGAAAAAATTATTTTTGTATCTCATATGTTTACATTTATATTAAACATTTAAACACTACAAACACAATCAATGTTTAAAATATAGATATATACAATAGATTTTATCCTGGTAAATACATGGATTATTAGTTAGATGGTAAAGTCTTTCATAAGATTAGGTAACTTTGATTATTTAAAAAGAAAGGCATTGCGCCAACATATTAACATAAACCTTTTCGTTTTTACATCACATAAACAGTTTTTGTTTTAACTAAAAGTTACAATATGATTCGTTTTTGCCATTTTTTTGTTTGAATTTTTGTCATGAAGGTAACAGAATTTTCTATGGCATATGTTTTGTAACATATAATGCTTAAAAACAAAAACTGTTGTATTTTTCAGTTTTTTTATTTTATTTTGAAAGCTGATTGAAAGTTGAATGCGTGAATAAACTGAATACAAATATAAAAATTATGATGAAAGAACTAGATTGGAATCTATTGAGTGACATGCTTGTTCAAAATTGATATAAGAATTAACAGTGAATACTTTAACTTATTCTTAAAGTATTAATTCCATTTTGTCAGATATATTTCTTTAAAAAGAAAACTGACATTATTTTATTATTTCTTTATTTAAATACATAAATATTGGTAAAAGGAAGCACCGAATAGATATGCGCCACATAAATCATTCGACTTGTGTGAGGGATGGAATACTGCTCGGGTGCCCAAACCGAAGCTGGTGGTTATCTTAGGGGGGCCACACTCAGACACACTCCCACAATAGGACGAAACGGCCATTCAGTGCTTCCAGGTTTTCCTTGAAGGTCTAGCTTCAATTGACTGATGCTTTTAACTACGAAAAAATATATATTACTTAATGTTATTCAACAGTAATTTATATAAGTAATGCATTGTTTCGTTATCTTTGTTGTCAGACTGCTTATAGGAAGTAAATTTTCCTTTAAATAACCTATCTAAACTAAGCATAATGAATGATTTTCAATGAAATACTTTCTTAAATATCCATCTCATTAATTTATATGTTGCAATGTGGAGGCAATTTCAATTTGAAACAAAACATTTTTGAACAAACTTGAGGAATACAATTGTATGATTTATACTAAATGATTAACATTTCAAGAGGGAAAGCAGAAAGCTTATTCTCTTTAAAACTAAGTATACGTTTAATTATTCAAGTTTCCTCAAAAAGACGATTTTGTAACCAATAATTTTTTAGCTGAATATTTCTTAAAATAACTATGTGGCCGCATAGTTTTGGGAGAAAGAAAACATTGACTTTATGAGCTTTTATTACATCCAAAACATAGGATAATAAATAATTTTAGTCGACATTATTATTTGACTATTGTGATAGCCTAATTAAGTCACTGGTATTTTATGCTTATTTTTTATATCTGGATAACAGAAGATGATATTTCAATGGCTGGTGGCGACAGAAACTCTGAACCTACAATTGTACTGAATCCAGGAGATCCTGGACCATTAGATGTGAATTTTGGAGAACTGCTTTATTCTCGTTGTTCAGTACTTGATAGTAATCAATATTCATACAGATGGATTCAACGTGCACCTGATGGAACTATAAAAGAAATATCTTCTGATGCTAGACTTTATATAACAAATTTTGGACCGGAACATTTACAGTATCCAATACGATGTGAAGTTACGCGATTATCAGATGATGAAACTTTTGAAAAGGTTTTAAATCTTCGACTGGGTAAGTTAAACGTTATTTCAATAATATATAACAAAAGTTATTTATGTATCACTTATTCTAGATGTTTTGAAAATCAATTTTAACCATGTTTTAATTAAGTTTTCTTTATTTCAAGTACTTAAGCTGGAAATCGCACCTGTATAACCGATAAATTGACTTGAGATTCTCCTTATTTAATAAGTTGCTCAGAATCTATGAAAACTAAATAAATATGATCATGAACTTTATCACTACGTTATCCATCCATATGTATTCAAAATGTTTTTTAACAAAAAGTCATTTTCAAAAGGAGGTTCTGTTGAAATTTGAGTGACTTAATTTTTGAATTCTTGAGTCAATTAAAGCTAGACAACCAAGGAAAACCTGGAAGCACTGGACAGTTGTTTCGTCCTAATATATCGCTACTCATCAGTGAGCATCCATGATCCCGCCTGCGGTATTAGAACTTAGGACTTGTCGGTTTCGCACGCCAACGCCTCACCTCCTGACCAATGAGCCGGAATCCAACGCTCGTTTAGTGCTTCTAGACTTCCCATGGTGGTCTAGCTTTGAATGACTTATGAATTTATCTATTAAATAATCCTTTACTATTTAATCACATTGAAATTACTGCCTACAACCGATTAAATAATTTACATTAGTTCATCACTATAACCTCCAATTGTATAAAAACATTTTTTTGGAAAAAATATTTATAAATCATTACCTCATACAAAATTAGTTTAAAAGGTTATATTCCAATTGAATTGTATGTCAGTTTAAATAATATACACCCATAATTTATATAAACTTAATTAAAATAGAAGTGTTCATTTGTTTACTATTAATTAAAATAAACATCAACAAAGTATTTGTATCTTACAATCGATCATGAAAATTATAATCTTTGATGAAAATCGGATAAACTAAAATAAATACGGTTGTTTTAAACTATCTAGTATTCAGGGGGTTTTCTGTGGAGATTTTAGGTAATTTTTGATATATACTTGAAATCATTAGTTAATTGAAGCTAGACCACCGTAGAAAACCTGGAAGCACTGGACGGTCGTTTCGTCCTATTGTGGGGCTCCTCAACAGTGCGCATCCACGATCCCGCCTCGCGAGATTCGAACCCAGGGCCTACCAGTCTCGCGCCAGATCAATTGACCGATAGGCGGAATCGTAGATGCGCACTGCTGGGGAGTCCCACAATAGGACGAAAAGGCCGTCCAGTGCATCCAGGTTCTCCTTGGTAGTCTAGCTTCAAATGACTCATGATTTCAAGTATATATTAAAATCTAATATTCAATCAATAAGATATACATATAATCATGTTTCCAAATAAAAAAATAGACAACAAAACCTCGTAGACTATATGAGCATAGTAACTACGAATATGATACTAACGTTAACTTAATAAAATGTTTGAAACTGAATAACTTTCTTGTTATTTTGAATATGAACTAACATTATATGAATGTTTTGGTTATCCATCAATATATCACAATTAGTTTTCAACGTTTGCTTAGAAAAACAAAACGAAACTTTACTTTAATCACGTGAATGTTTTCAGGCAACAACCAAAAAAAGTACAATAATAATCATCCCTATACATATATGTATCATTTGTGATCTTACTAACTGCATGTAGATTGCATGAAATTTCTTCTTTCATTTATCATCATAATCATTATTAATTTATCATGAAGTGATCATTTTATAATAATAATAATAATAATAAAACAATTATTCTTCATACTAGAATATGTTTTATTAATTATACAGCATCATCAGGTGATCTAAGTACTGATGATGAATATAAAACATTAAATTTAACTATCAAACCATTACCAAATGAAGATTTTCGTCAAGGAACTATAATGAGACAATGTTTATTTGAAAATGATCCTGAAATAAATGAATTATTTGATTTTCGTTGGATTGATCAAAATGGTCGTATTGTAACCAATGGTGATACATTATATTTATTGGTGGGTTATATCTATCATATTTCAGTTGCTGTTGTTTTTATTTTTTAAAAATTTCTTTATTTGTATATTTAATTAAAACAAATTTAAAACACAGATTCTTTTTTTCAGTTGCAGTCAGTCAGCTACAACGTAGGACCAGGCACATTTATGCATCGGTCCAAGTTGCCATACCTCGTTAGCACATCAAGATGAACACCGGATTCATAGAAGTAGTTAATTTATTGATGGTAGTATATAAAGGATAGGTTGTATATAAGGATATAGTATAGGAAGGAAGAAAATTATGAAGAATTTTAATCTCAAGGTTTAAGGGAAGATAAAGAGTGTATACACCTACGCTATTGTGATCGATTCTGAGCCACGTCACTCAGAGTCTTCAACCAGTTGGAGTAAAGATGATTCAAACTTTTGATACAGATTAACCTGCCAACAATTAATAAATATTTTAAGAAAAGTTTGGTTAACTTTAAAATTAACCAAAACTTCATATTGTATAACATAAATTTTTAATTTACTAATCAACTAATGAAATAAATCGAAAATTGAACAGGCAACAATAAATCAATTATTGTTTTATACATTTAAGTTTACTTTTTCTTTCAGAAAAGATCAATAGTTACATAAAATGTCACTTTTAAGTTAACTAAAGTTTAGAAGAAAAACATGGCGCGAATTTTGTCCATGATCAATATTATTTGTTCTTTTTAAAAAAAATAGAATGGAGATAATGTAATGATTAGGTTTCTATCGTAAAAATCTTATTTAGAAATAAACTGATTCAATTGTTTATATATTATACTGGGAATAGTTAGTTGATGTATCCTGTTATGTTCACATCTGCATTGGTCAGCTTCATAGTTTCAGATTTGATGATAGAGCTATTCAAGTCTCCATTCATATTACCATGACGTATGGTAAACACAATATCAAGCCACTTTTCATAATTGCCTGAATATAACTTCATCAATATAATTCAATTACTACTAGAGGACTGGTCATACACAACACTGATCACTACTTAGTAATCAATCAACTGTAAATTAGTGCTCTATCAGTTTCTATACACTGAGATCAATGACAGATTATTTTTAAGAATAGTCAATCAGTTGACATCCTTTTGTCAGGTTATTCAGATCATATACACTTTACTACAAGCAAGGTGCCGTATTTTACATGGATAAAACAACAATGATATCTTACAAGAAACCTAACTGTTTAGCCAACAATATACGTAGCATCATTTTTTTTGTTTGACCATACGTTAATTTAACATACTACTAAAATCTGTGTCTTGCATAAATTAGTGTGCATGATTAACATTATTATGAAATGATATTGCTTGCTTGATTGTTATAATTATTACATATTCAGCTATTATATTTCTATAATTACTAAATTAGTTAATTTTACTAACCAAAATATTTAACCAATTTGTTTTTGGTTTTTTTTCCCTACATCAATCATCATTATTGTCATCATGTATTCGGTGATCACCTCATCTCATTTCATTCATCTTAACTGTTAATACTGTATCCATCATCATCATTATCATTCACTCACTCACTATACCATACATTTATTGACATTTATTGGCATGACAATCTATTGTAATCCATTGAAAAACAAAAAAACATTATATTATCACAAACAATTGTATTAAAGATTGAAGATCCGAGTGAATTGAGCAATTATACATGTGAAGCAACCAATCGTCAAACAGGTGTAATTTACCAAGCCAAATACCGTGTATCTATGCTGAATGGTCAACAAGGTATGATGTAATAAATAAATGAGGTGTCAGGACACCTAGTCAAAGCTATTGGGTATTTATTAAGTGATAAATAAGAATAGATCGGTTTTTCTTATCTTTTATATGAAGATGTAACAATTTAGTAAAGCTTAAATTGGAATCTGTGACTAAACGTAAAATTTCGAAATTAAAAGAATTTTCAGTATCACTTTAAATGTCATAAATAGTATTGTGTTCTTTCACTAATCTACCAATCAATATGCTTATTTTCAGCCTTTGAATAATTAATTTCATATCACTTTTTGAATGGAATAAGCCGAAGTTTATTTATTTATTTATTTATTTATTTATTATTTAAACACATCAACATTGGTACATGGAAGCATCAAATATATATGTGCCACACAAATCATTCGATTTGTTTAGGAGCCATAATACTCCACGGGCGCACAAACCTAAGCAGGTAGTTTTCTTAGAAGGCCACACCACTGACATAATATTATTCACTTTCAAAATAAGTTTTTGACATTAATTGAATTGCTTTTCGGAAGCCGTAAATATCACTTAAACAAAATGTAATTAAAATCGGTTAAAGAATCCGAGTTACTACATGAATACCAAAACCTATGGTCTGATTTTCTGTGATAAACTAATGAGTTATTCCCAGTTTCAAATTTTTATTTCGTAGACTTAAGTCAGATAATGAATGATGTACATATGGATATTTTGTATCTCATTTTCATATCCCATTAGACGAGAAATTATGTTATAAATTCAAACTCTAAGCATATTGAAGTTAAAATTCAATACTTGAAATGTTATATTCTATAGCTGGATACTTTTTAAAAGTCATTTTCACACCTCTGTATTAGGCCAGATCAGAATAAATCCCATATATCTTAAGACATATTACAAGTTGACTAAATATCACTATGTATTGATCTATAACGGAAATTATTTGGCAGCAGCACTCATTGTTTTTTCGTCAAAAAGTACAAATAAGATTTGAAATAATCGATTTTCATTGTTTATCCCTGTTTAATAACGGTTTATTCCATTCATATAAATGATATCTAAAATAGTAATTGAAAAGATTCACCATAGACAGCTAATATTTTCCACATAATAATAATCTATTCTACCGTCAAATATCTACATCAGAAATCAATTACATACAAGATAATAAATGTTAATGGTTTCCTCACTATTATCACTTAACTCCTTATACATGGAAAACTATTCACCTACGTCAGTCAAATTTACACGTATGTGTACATGTATTTATGCACTGTTCATTAGTTCTGTTCTAAACTGTTTTCACGTTTAAGTTAATGTGCTACTGTATACTAATCAAAATTGTTATCAAAACGTTATGGCAACAACCACCATCATAATCCTGGTTGTTACTTTTATTATCGTCATCATTATCGTTTGTTTTGTTATTGTAGTTGTATATATAAATAATATTTTCTCTAAGACTACACTTCATGTCTGTAACCGATCAATTCGAAATTTCTTTTTTTTTTCTTCTTTTTTATTCTTCAACCTACTTTTTAATTAATCTTTTCTTTATTATCATTTTATCCAAATACATACAGACAGGAACATTCATGAAAAGATCCTGTATAGGAAGAAGAAACAACAAATTTATGGGCATCTATTTCTTTTTTTTTTACTTTTTACTTCATATAATAATAATTATATCACAACAAAAATGGTGATTATTTATAAAATTATATTTCTGGCTGATTCATCATCAACTAATTCATAAAATAGGCATTAACTGGTACATTAATATTTCCCAGTCAAAAGATCATTACAATTATCCCATTTTAGATGTTTAGTATTCAGTATATGCATGTATATATACATCATGCATAATGTTAAAGTATAAATAGTCAATTCACATTGTCTAGGTTCCATGTAGACATACATTTAGGTACTAAGCAACACACCATATATATATTTAATAAGGTATAATTCACATATTCATTTAATAAACAGAATAAAGTTGTTTATATATATATATGTTCATTTTTTAAAAAAAATCTTGTACAAAGATGATTAATCCTTTAAAACAACAATAATGTCAACTGTTCTTTTTCTTCATGTTAATAAAGGATAAAACCAAAATGAAAATCTATTCATTCTATTTCTTATTTATATTTTATATTTTATCAGACTGAGGAGATAATAGTGAATTATGTAATTAATTATTGATTATCAGAAGGGTTTTTTTGTGAAGACTTCACTAATTTTATGGTTGAATTCACCAGTCAATTGAAGCTAGACCACTATGGAAAACCTGGAAGCACTGGACGTCTCTTTCGTCCTATTGCGGGACTTCTCACTAGGTCTGTTAGTAGATAGTAACTCATTGAAGGTATTGGAGAAATGGTTGTTCAACTTCATAGATTGGTTGAAGTTAGACATTAATGCTGTTGGACGATGATTCAGTGGTCTAGAGGTTAGGCGCTCACGCGCGACACTGATAGATGCTAGGTTTGAATCTCGCAAGGCGGGATCGTGGATGCCCACCGTTGAGGAGTCCCACAATAGGACGAAGCGGCCATCCAGTGCTTCCAGGTTTTCCTTGGTGGTCTAGATTCAATTGACTCATGATTTCAACCATTAAATTACTTATGGGTTATTTTGATAAGTTAAATGACGTTTTTCAACCAAAGAGAAATAAGAAAAAGGATAATAATCACAAATAAAGAAAGAAAATGTCAGAAAAATAATTAAGTTAAATCGTATTCATATAAAATACTCATCTTTTGCATTCTGTAATGTAAAAAATCTATTCTATAATTGTTCCCGTAATCAAATCCTTTACATATGTAACTGTTGATTAAATGTTTCATGTCTTTTCTTTTTCTTTCTTTTCTTTTTTCACCTACAATTTATTATACACATCTGAAATAAGCTTAAATTCATTTTAAGGTTAAAATATTATCTAACTATAAATTTTAATAGTGTAATTAGAAGACGAAGATTATCAGAACTATGTGATATATTAGCGTAATACATTTCAAACAATCTGATCACACATATACTTGTTAAGAACAGTTTGTTCTCACCTTGAACCTACGCTGATAAGATTAGCATATTATCCAGAGTGATCAGGTTTCAAATTGTTTCCACATTATTGTTATTATTATTACTATCGTTGTCTACTCTTACCCCTTCCCCATTTCTAGTGTAGTTGACCTTTTATTTTTATATATAAATATCCTTAACGAGTATATGTCTGATCAGATTGTTCGAAATGTATTGCACTAATATATCACATAGTTCTGATAACCTTCGTGTTCTTATTACACTATCGAAATTTCATCAAAGGGACTAACTACTATAAATTTTAATTCAGATTAAATTTACAATATGAATGTGTTGAATTTTGTCATCTAACTAATGACTTTCATCATCAGTGTTACTTGATACTATTTTGCGTTTGATTACATATATCATTATTTTAATGATTAGATAATTATGCTATTGTGCTGTATGGAGTTTCATATTCAGAAAAGGATGTAACAGATAGCTGTTATTTATTTATTTATTTACATCTATTTTCTAGTAAATGTCTTAATTATGTTATAACCTTTTAACCCTATTGTATTATTCAGTAAATATTTAAAAGTAAATTTTAATTACATTTTGATAAAATGGTAAATGTAACACAATTATTTTTTAAATTTAAGAAAGAATGAAATCTTTCTACTAATGACATATCAAAACGTAATCTATTCAACAGACATCACAAATGACTTCTAAATAATAATGACAAATTTTTAGTTGAAAAGTTAATACAAATGTTATTTTTATACAATTTTAAGTATCTATCAAATAAAGTGAAGTACAAGAAAAAATACAATTGTATATCAATTCATTAAAAATCTTCATGATTTTTGGTATTTGAAATTGTTTTCAGACAAAATCTGATTTTTAAAATCATTCACTTTATTAAGTTTACAAGTATTATTTACGTGAATACATTTTCGGTAAAGGAAACATTTTGCTTTACCTAAATATTGAATGTATTTATAATTAGTATTGATTAACATTTTATTTATCACAGAAATACACTATCATAGATAACATATTTATATATGAATGACAAAGATATGTTCAATAAACTTCAAATCTATACGGGATTAAATCATTACAAATATATTTTAGTGGAATTTTATCATGTTCATGAACTATAGAGTACATTGGGGGTACTAGTTGATTAGTGTCACCTAGAAAAGTAATACAAGTCAAGATATATTAAATAGATCTTTCCACTATGAAGTCTTAATTGTAGTTCAATTATATAGTAGATGAGTAGTAGTCCTATACTATGACACTGGATTTTCATCATAGCTAACTAACCTAATTGAGAAAAATGGAACATTGGTCTCATGTTCATTACTTTTGAATTGATCTTCTTGACAAAAATTCCAAAGCAGTATGTTTTGTTTCGTCTGTATTCAATGGTTCACATTTCTATAAACTCCTAGACAATGCCAAAGCAGCCATTGTAGCCTCGCTAGTCTCCGGTTGGTGTTGGTTTGTAGTGAATACAATGTTCATTATTATAGAAATGTTCACAATTAAATGAATATTCCTCTATTTTAATTTACATAATAATACTAAAGTAATGAACTTCTAAACAAAATTGTTTGTTCAAATTGTCTATCACATTGTGTTGTGTGCTACTTATGTTTGTCGACATTAGTAGTATGTAACACCAATCAGAAGTGAAATACCTGGCAGCAGAAGGTTGAGAAGATCGAATTGAAAAGAATAGAAATGTAAGCAGATCGTAATTGTAGTGAAAATAGGAATGAAGGAAGTTTGTAAGGAAGAACTGTTGGAAAATGTGCATATAAAGTATTTAATATATGGTCCTTCAAATTTTACCAAAACACTCTATAATTTGGAGCTACGAGATAAATTAGCTTTCCCCACCTTAGTTCCCGTTCACTACAATACGACTGTGTTAGGAATAATGGAGATGAAATTTAGGGAAAGAAACGATAATTCAATCTCGCAATCCCATAAATTTCTAGTATTGTTATACTATGAATATCTTCAAAGAGATATTAAAAACAGACATGTAATCAAAAACGTCAATGTATTTCAATAGGAACTCAGTTACTAATAACTATTACTTACCTGTATAAACTGACCACTTCGAGTATTCTTCAGAAACAATCGTTATGTACATATTACTTAGAAGTCGTTATTTTGCAAGTATTCCACAAATAAACAGTGCTAATTGTCAATTTATGCTTTTGATTCATGAGTAAATAGAAATATATGGTGAGCATATTTACTCGTTAAAGTAAATGTATGAACATATATTTCAAAAGAATTTGCTGATTACATGTAAGCATTTTAAAGTTTTACTAAATAAGTGGAAATTAAATATAGCTGCTTTCCAAAAGAATGCCGTTTTCAATATTACCACAGAACTATTTTAATATGACATTAATTATGAACACCATTCTTTATTTATTTAATAATCATTATAGCTATGCAGCATATTGTTAATATTAGACCTATTACTGGTGACGTAATTATTGGCAGACCGTATGAAATGGTTTGTGAAGTTGAACCGCCACCTGAGGAGCCAATCAGTTTCGTATGGTATCATAATGCCAAAGTTGTGCATCGTGAAGCATCATTACGTTTGACATCGTTGTCATATCGGGATATAGGTATGTATATATGTCGAGCTGAATGGACACCAAGATATTCACGTACCGCTATATCAGCTAATGCAACAGCTGAATTAAGTTTGGCATTGACACGAGAAACGAAAATTGGTAAGTTACTCGTGGTATATGTATAAATTTACTGATGAAACAGTAATCACGATATAAAAAGACCACCTTTAGTTTGAAAAGCAAATAGTCTTTATGATAACATATATAACTCAATATCCAAGTGGGTTTACTGTGGTTGTTATGTTAAGAAATAAAATATCAGGACAATAGATATTTTCTGACAGATAAAAAGCGTGCTCAAGTTTTAACTATTTAATTTAGGTTTTTAGATTAAGTTTTAAAACAAGTAAACCATTCGGACGGTATTTACTCATTACTTCGTTGTATTCATTCATTCAAAGAGTTTTGTCTGTCAGAAGTTTATTTATCGATTATTGTATGTGCTTTGTAAATCCGGAGTTAATCACATAAAGTATAATGTATTACGGCCTAACGACAATGTCAGCGACACTCGTCCAAGTTGAATAAATTGATTTTATTTTCATACCACTTACAACATCGAGGTGTATCGGACAAGCTGTGAACCACATGTGAAGAAATTCAAATACTTCACTTCTACCAGACGATGATGTTGTTCAAAAGGAGGATGAAAGCTGCACGATCAAACCATCCAGCTCAGAGAACAAAAGTCCACCAAAATTTTATCACTCACCATAACCTAAGTAGAGGAAACTAGAACAGAGGGACCCATTGCAGAGTCTTCGTAGTCATAACTTGAATACAAATAATAGAATTGAAAACTAAAACATCCTTTGTTATTCTTGAAGAGATCCGATCCTTACAACACCATAGATAATCACTGGAGTACGCATCATTAAAAACTGGCTAGCTAGTTTAAGAAATAGCCAAAATCAGTTAACCAAACATGTTTCATTATCTTCCCAAAATGCAAAATTGCTAAATATTTGATAAATTAGTTATTGATCATGAAGAAATTATTCAGTTACAACATCATTGTACGTTTCTTTGTTCATAACAAAATATAAAAAGAATTGTGACATATTAATCAGTCTTGAAAACACGTTAAATGTTCTTTACTCATATTTTACACTTGTAGAAATGAGTCCTCCACCTGGTTCAGTTATGGTTTCTTTGCCTGGAGAAACACGTGAACTTCACTGTGAATTTCCTGTATCTAATCCAAGAGATGTTAGATGGTATTTTGAAAATCAACTATTAGAGAATCATCCAACTATAAATGCTACAGGCAAAGTTTATCGTATCGATCGTTTAAGAGTAAGTATTGTGACAATTCGTGGCATAGAACAAGATCATGGGGGAACATACGAGTGCAGAATCGGTCGTGATATAAAACAAACACATTTAGTTGTTAGAGGTAAGTTTATCTGTTCATAAGACGACTTTTCTATGACCATTAAATTCATTTTAAACAAAATTATACAACTATTTTAATTAAAATAGAATTATAAAACCTGGTAGTCTGGCTGTTGTTGAGACAGAGATGTTAGCATAATACAAGTTTCTAATGTAATAGTAAAAATTATTCAGTGAACGTTATAGAATGAAGCATTCGTATAACATATTTGATAAGTAATTTTCCGATTCATCTAATTTTCGATATCTTCAAATAAGTCAGATGATTCGAGATTGAATTAAACTCTGTTGAAGTTGAAGTTATCAAGATTTATTGTAATTTAATTAGTAGTATCAAAATGAATGAAACGGTAACAATAAAGAAATCAGGAGTCATTCTATACTCATTATGAATAAGTCATGTTTACTTCAGATAGCATTGACTTAACAAATAAATATTTCATTCACATCTTGATCCAAGTTGAACTTTTATAGGATCTATATATTATATTAATAATTTCAATGAATTGAGATTTCCAAATTTATTTTAGTAGGCTCAATATTTCGTCAGAATTATTGCTCATGAATATTAGATTTGGGTTGTATGATCTAGTCTTAGCTTGCAAAATCAAATAAAAGCTCTACGTAAAAACAAAGGATATTTTGTGCTTAAAATACATTTTCCTAATTAACATTTTTCTCATTACACAGCTGAAGAAGGGTTAGAAATCAATCCAAAATCGGATACAGTTGATGAAGGTGAAGCAGTAGAATTTCATTGTCGTGTACATGGAATGAATGGTAATATAAATCGTCAATTAGAATGGTATTATAGACCATTTTATAGTTCAACACGTGTACGTCTTGATGTTGATACACCTGATGGTTTTATGCGTCATGATGATCTAGTTGCTCAGCATACCAGTTTTATTAGTAAAGCTAGAGCACGTGTTGCTGATCAAGGTGAATATATTTGTAGATTACCATCTCAAAATGAAGAAATTGTCGGAAAACTTTTTGTTAGTAAGTTAGAAAATTCGCTTCTTTTTTTAACACTCTTTATAACTTGAAACATTATACTATTTTAACTTGACCTGGTTTTTTATAGATCTATAATACTAAACAACAAAATGAAAAATCAACAATTCAACAATATTCAATATAATATGTTCACTTAAATGTTAGATGTAGTCGGTAACTAAAAACCTTTAAATAAACATGATAGCCTGTCATATTCATGATACAAAGTTGAACTTTGCACAATATCAAACCTCCTGTCTATAAATATATGTATCTATCTATACGCCTTCAAAAAAATTTTATTCGACTAATTTTGTTTATTTGCACTATTTTCATTTCATCCTATTTCACTTCGACATCTAAGTAAACATTCCTTCTACCTTTCAAATTTCCCGCTTTACTCAATAAAACAGTTGATAATAAGTTAACACAAATCAGTTGGCTAGTCTTATGTTCTTTAACATTCAGTATGTTGATTGTAACTATATATATACTGGCAACAACCATATTGAAAATAGTAATGATAATGCAGATGATTGGAAAAGGTCACTAACATCTAAATACTATGATAAGAATAATAACAATATTATGGTTGCTGTAATTTAGTTACTGACAACTATTTTGTTAGTGGAAATGAGATATGCTTTTTTCTATTAGACTAAATACAATTAATTTGTGTAATTTAACTAAATTTGAATAAAATAATATTTAGAAGGGGTTTTGTAGAGATTTCAGTATTTTCATAGTTGAAGCACGAGTCAATTGAAGCTAGACCACAATGGAAAACCTGGAAGCACTGGACGGCTGTTTCGTCCTATTGTGGGACTCCTCAGCAGTGCCATCCACGATCCCACCTAGCGAGATTCGAACCCAGGACATACCAGTTTCGCGCCAGTGCACTTAACCATTAAAATAATTATTATTCCTTTTGGATTAACTTTTGAATTAATGATTAATTGTTGACTATAAATACACTTAATTTGTGAAAATTCAAAAAATACAAAGAACGAAATGGTCGTCAAATGCTTTTACATTTCCATGTTGATCTAGCTCAAATTGGCTGATGAACTCAACTACTAAATTACTATAATATCTACAAAACCCTCTTCTAATATACAGGATTGTCGAATGACTTGCTTTGAATATCCTAATCGCATTGTAATTTAACATCTCTTTAAATATTTGTTCTATTAAATTATCAAATGTAAAACTTCGTAGAGAAGAAGTAACAAAAAGTGATACAGTTAGTTTACAATAGCTTTCAGAGAATTTCGATCCAATCTGATAGACTAACATTTTACTGTCTCCTTACAATTGAAATGACCAAACGTAAAAACTTTTATAGAATGCAACCCATTTATAAATTTTACTGAACAAAGGATGATTGAAGTAGCATAACAATATGAGTTCCTTATATTTTATTGCTTCTTGTTAGCTGTTTACAACTTAAACCTAGTAGTATTAATTCACTTGATATTGTTTGTTTGAATCTTTCCATTGAGTTTTAGGATTGCAATTGATCAGTCTCTTATTGGCATATGTGCATACTGTGCGTATTGCCTCCATATAGCCTTAATTCACAAGCACTATAAAAAAGAAATAGACAGTGGCACAGTGATTTTCAAGGATTAATAGTGTTAGGCAAAAATGGGAAGTGGCTAGCAGTGGAATGTAGGACGCGCGTTTCGTCCTATTTGGGGCTCGTCAGCTGGATGTACCTGCATCTCAGAGTTGATGTTCACTCTGAGACTCGAACTCAATGGGAAGATTCAAACAAACAATACCAAGGGAATTCAAACTTCACCTCATTGTACAAGCAAGTGGCTATCAGGACTCAGTAGCTGAGTGGATAACGCCGTGGCGTTTAAAGCGAAACATACTGGGTTTGAGTACCAGAGTGAACACCAACTCTGAGATGCAGGTACATCCAGCTGACGAGCCCCAAACAGGACGAAACGCGCGTCCTACATTCCACTGCTAGCCACTTCCCATTTTTGCCTAATAGTATTAATCCTTGAAAATCACTGTGCATACTGTATATCATAATATCAGAAGAGTTCTCGTTAATAAAAATTAATGAAAAGAGCAATAAATGTGTGAGGACGACAAAAGATGTTCATATGTTAATTATTGTTAATATGCATAGATTGAGAATAAGAATATTTTGGAATAAACAACCAAAAATATAGAAACGGAATTGTTTAGGGGCAATATATAAACGTTATCATTATGCAACTCATAAAAAAGAAATTAACTAACCAAATACAGATTAGATTTCCCATAAAGAAATCTGCAAAGATTGTACCCAGTGGGCTATTTATATCCATTCCATCAAGTTGACGATATAAGATGTTATTGAATCTAAACTGAACAACTCTAGTACATATAAGTAGAAGCGTGTTGACATATTATTTGTCTGGTTTCTTCTAATGTGATTTTGGTGAGTAATGATGATACATCAAAGCAAACCAAGGAATTTATCAGAATGTCCACTTATTCCTGCAGTTGAATAAATTAGAAAGTGTCTTTTAAATTGAAGTAGGAGGATGAAAGTGTTTTCATTCGGCGTTAAAATCCTAGAAACTTTTGCTGGTCTTTAGATAGGACTTTTGACTGTAAAATTTATCAAAAACAACAAATTGTCGATTTCTGCATCATTTTTAAATATTAAAGGAGCTTAGACTATGTTAAATTCTACAACCCAATTTACGTCATAGTCAAGTTTCACTTGCATAACATTTCATTTATCTGAAATCCTAAGATCGTAAAATAATAAAAATTCAGAGGTTAGTATTTCAAGATGGATTTTAAGTGTTAGAAAGCTTGATCATCACAATATCTTGTTCAATACCATCCGAATTTCTTAAGGGGATAAAATTGTCAATCTGCGTATACAACTTTTTTCGGACTACATTTTACATAGTCCCTAAACTATGCACAACGTTATTGAAATCAGAAACGATTGGCTTATTACAAATAAACAAATAGTGATATTTGAATTCACTTAGTATTGTTTGTTTGAATTCACTTAGTAGTGATATTACTTGAAATATCTAAGATTGAAAAAAATCAATTCAATATGAGGATTATTCAATGTCGTAGGAATGGTAGTGGTTCCTCATTTGCAATTATAAGTAATAGACGAAGCGGATAAAACCATCAATCGTTGTTGTGTAGTGTTATATGGTTTTATTGGAATCAAATTTTAGATTTCAAAATGATAAGCAGTTAATCTTAAAACTAATACGTAAATTACTGCTCAGTAGTGTGGTATGGTTAGTAAACAAACTTGACAGTGGTTATTTCAGCTTGTTTCAAGATTAAACACAATGAATATAATCTCTTCAAGCTATCATTCTGTAGATATCCAGTTTGTTAATTTGCTCTTTACTTCTAACGTTCTCGCTACCAAAGAAATTCTTTCTATATATTCAGATACATATGGACCGTCATAAAGTCAGCAATTATTTCCAATACATTATTTAAAGATGTCTTTTTTAAATACCAAAGCCGTTCAAGGATTCACTAAAAAGATCTTGATCAGTGTGAGGTAAATAACTAATCGAAATTTTAATCTTAGGAACCCCAAATTATTCATCAAACAATTGAATATAAACTAATAAACGGAATGATAGAATTGAAAATGTCAAGTTACATGAAGCTATTAGGAAAACAAATTTATTTTACTTAACCTGATTGGTAGATTTGCACAAGATAACCATGAAAGATTTTTCTAATAGTCTACGTGTTAAATTTAAATGTTTTATAATGAACTTCAATTGTTTTGTCTTTTAACCACAAAGGAGCAGTACGAAGTTATGTATTGACAATCACACCTCAGAGATTGACCGTTCGACCATATCAACCAGTAGAGTTTGAGTGTTTCGCTGCATCCGAAGATGGACAACCGGCTTCATTTACTCCACGATTTCAAGTTAGAGATTCAAGGATCAGTTTCGAAACTACACGTGTCAGTCAAAACCGTGTAAGATTTGTGTTGCAACGAGGATTGGGTCCAGATCAAAATGGAACGGTTGTTGAATGCCTTTCAGATGTAAGACTTAGATGTCCTAAATATTTCAACGATACACTATAATAGTTAGAATGAACATAAATTTGATTCATTATTAATTTAAAAATATGTTTTCATCCAAAGCTTTGAATCCTTCTATTCGCAAACGGTTAACACATAGTATCACCTTAATACGTATATCATAAGACAGACATATCATATACTAATCATAATTATTTACCGTCTCTACGATAAATAGTATTAAACATATATATTTATCACAATTCACAGAATTGTTTAGCTAGTTGTTCCGTAAACATTGGTAAATAGTTATCATTTTAAATGCCATATATTTGACAAATATAAATATGTTTTTGTTACAAATGACCACGATAAATATTCAAAAGTGAAACAAGAGAATCATTGTAAAATATCAAATGTGCTTAAACAAACAAGATTAGTTAATCTGATGTAACTAATAAAACCAGTAATTTTTGTAACATTTTTTGAGCTATCTAAAAGTGCCCCTAAATGCCCTGGTACGGCCTAGAGTGGGGAGAGTTCGCTCTCCTTCTCGAAATGCTCTCACATGGACACGCGTACATAGCCTTTGCCAGGAAAGTCCTACTCACTGCCTTCTCGTGGCAGGGGTGTTGTTTACAAAATCGAGAGGAAGAAAAGGGAATGTCCGACGCCTTAACCGGGTCGATGGACTCGGAGAGTTTACCTAGGGGAGTTGGAAAACCGTGATTCCAAGCCAATGGTGCACATAGGCTCTAGTAACCTGAAGGAACAAATGGCTTATGAATCAATTGTTGGCCACCGGCTACCATGGGACATCTCCTTACGATGCTCCACTGCCTTGTGGATCAGATCTTTAGTTCAAAGGCTCCGGCTGTGGTCCCCTAAGAAAATCACCTGCCTCAGTTTGAGCATCTGGGCAGTATCACAGCCCTCACACAAATCAAACGAGATTTGTGTGGCGCATATGTATTAAGTGCCTCTTTGCACCAATATTTATGTGGTTAGATAAAATAAAAACCTAATGGTATTCACCCCGAGATCTATTGTATATTTTGAATAGTTTTCAAAAAATAAATCTAATTTACGAAGATTGAACGATTCTTGATCAATATTTATACTTAGTACTATGAAAACGTTTAATCACTGACTGAAAAACAGAAAATAAAAAAGGAATCTGTCACAAACATCGAACAGAATTTTTTCAACTATTGATCGTTTACATGAAAAGATGTTTGATTTCTGCTGATCGTTAATTAAATGAACTGATTTCAAATGTTAATGGGCTCCATAGTCTAAGTGTAATGATAACTTCAAGAATATTAAATGACAAAAATGTAATTTAATGTATCCGTAAATCAATCGGTTCCATAGGAGAATATTTCAACATTTAGATAGGCAACTAAATGTGAACAATAGTTTGATGAAATGAATGAAAATGATTATTTGTCTTTAAATTTCTTTATCAGTCCATGAAAATCGAAAATGTTTTAAGTATCCCTTAATTTCAAATAGTTATTCATTAGTTGATATCAAATAGTTGAAGTAAACTATTCTAAAGTTTTATGCTAATAACATACTAAAGATAGACTAATAAAAAGTGTCGTGTTGTTTGTTACCATTTACTTGTCTACTACTTGGCTTGAAGTTTATCAGTTTTCTCATAAAGAGAGAAAGAAATAACGAAGTGCATTTTATACTTTCTAATCTTTTCAAACTTTGTGTGGTCATACGAATCTGATTATAAATTACTTGGATGTATCATTAGGTATAACGTTTTCTTTTGCCTTTATGAACTAAAAACAATTTTCAGTAAGAAGACTGAAAACATGAAACAACCGATTATTTGAATGAGATTATTATCGTGCCAGTTTATTTACAAAAATTTTAAATTTTGATTTCAGGAACCAAGTAGACCGGCATCAGCAATAATTACAGTTGAAGATATTTGTCCAGATGGTTCACGTCGCTGTCGTTCTGGTCAGTGCTTACCAGCTGGAAGATTTTGTGATGGAGCAAGGGACTGTGATGATGGTTCAGATGAAGATCCTAAAATGTGCAGTGAGTAGGACAAATAATTTACTGAGTCGATTAAAAAAAATAAAAATAAACGTATAGTTTAGTTATTAAACTTACCAACCTGTTCTCTGTTATTAAGATTAATAAATTCCGGTAAATTAAATTGTGCCTAAAAATTTAGATTCACTCTCTTCATATAATTGCTTATATAGTAAACTGACCAAAATATTAGGCTTTTGAACTGTACACTAATTATCGAAATAAGAGATAAATAAAACTAATTGTCTAACAGAATATAGATCCTTTGTGATTTATTTTTTGTTTTACCACGTATCAATACTAATCTATATATACCACTGAAGATGTTTAGACATTTTAATGATATTCTAATTATTTTTTTCAAAAATCTATATGCTGTACTAGTGATGAAATCATTTTGATTTATTTATGAAACTGTTGAGGTGATCCAAAAAATTTCTCTCAAAAGACAAAAAAGGCTCAGGAAACACTAAGAAGCATTTTATCTAATCAGCGTTCAATAGAGGTTTTGACAGAAACCTCACAGAAGTGAAATGTCACATGTAGAGTTTCTGATTGGTTGATTATTATTATATTGCTTCTCGCATATTCTGCACATTTTCTCTCGTGTTCAAGCTGCTGAGTAGATTTAACTTGGGGTTACCAGAATAGCTTAGAAACCTAGTATAGTGTTTAATTAGCAAGACTTATCAGAAACATAATAAAATATTTGTAGTTATTGACCAACTGTTCTTTGAGCAGTACATCTTCAAACTATTCAAGTCGATAATGTTTATTCTTCTCATTAACACTCAATAAAGTTGAACCTTTGGCGAGGATTATAGTCTTCTATAAACAGAATTATTATCTATATTACTAATCTTATAAAGTATAGAAAAAATAAACTCTGAGGGGATAATAGATCTAAACAGTATGACTTGGTTTCCAGTATTTCATGAATTCAAATTATATATTGAAAAAAATCATTATAATCGATTTCACACTAAAGAAAATTATTTATAAAGCATGTAAGAGTAATGAATTCAATGATTTTTACCATCAATAATAATGCTAGTGGGCGGCCTATGCTCCTCCACGAGGGTTAACTGGCGTAAGTAAGTATTATAATTATTAAATAAAAGTTAATATGATAACTTGTCTCTTGTACAATCTTAATTTATATATATTTTTACATCAACTATTCATTAGATATTTGTGACCCACTTTCAAGAAAATGTGAATATTATCAAGGAAGAGAACCGATAAAATCAACATTCATGGTACATTGGACTTGTGATGGTGAAAGTGATTGTGGAAATGGTTTTGATGAATCAAATTGTGAAGGTAAAATATCAATATTTATGTATAAGAATTTGCCTACCATATATTGATCATCTTAAAAAAAAACAAATAAATTTATTTATTTCCCTAGTTCTTGGATAGTCTATGATTAATATTGATTTATTATTTTTCATCAAACCATTTTATGTATGATAAAATGTCTGGGACCTGTTGCTAAGGGCTATCTTGAATTTGTTGACTTTGTCAGTATCCTGAAGAAAAGCCGTATTAAACTTTTGTGATGTTGTCCGCCCCGTTTTCCAGTGCTTCTTAAGTTTTAATTTCATATTGGCGACCAACAAGTGATGTTCTGATGCTATATCAGCTCGTCAGCTAGTTCTCACATCCTCCATCGTCCTCCTGAACTTTTTGTTGATGCAGATATGGTCAATTTGGCTCTCTTTAGTGTGATTCGGTGAAGTCCATATAGTTTTATGAATGTGTTTATGTGGGAATATAGTGCCGCCTATGACCGGTCTATTGAAGGCACATAGGTTTACAAATCTCTCACCATTTTCGTTTTTTTCTCCCAGTCCATGTTGTCCCATGGCTTCTTAGTATCCAGTGTTGTCTATTCCAACGTTGGCATTCAGGTCTCCAATCAGAATGGTCAGGTCTGGTTGTTTCGAAGCAATAATTTTTTGAAAAAAATGCGTTTCATTTTTGTTGAATTAAAATTAGATTTTGTTAGATTTTATTTAATCTACAAAGAAATGGCTGAAAATTAACCATAAAATGTTTATCATTGTTGAAAGCGTGAGTCAATTGAAGCTAGACCACCATGGAAAACCTGGAAACACTGGACGGCCGTTTCGTCCTATTATGGGACTCCTCAGCAGTGAGCATCCATGAACCTGCTCTCGCGAGCGAGATTCGAACCCAGGACCTACCAGTCAATTGACTCACGCTTTCAACAATGATAAATACTAAATCTCCACAAAACCCCTTCTATAATTAACATAAAATGTTTGTTTTTTCTGGTGAAGTAACTATTGAATGATTTTCAAATAAAAAGAACTGTAACCCGATGTAACGTTTAAAATTATTGGGAAACAAATGAATTCATTGAGATTCCATAGAACAAAGCAAATTATCTAAGTCGACAAGATATCTATGGAAAAGTATTTTTATAATGCTAGTAGAATAAGATTTCTGGATGTTATCTTGAGTGAATCCATGATTACATAATAAATAACAAAAATAGAAAAGACAATTCATATTTATACTATACCCTACAATTAGATACTTGATTTTTCTAACTACTGTGTAATGATAATCAAATGATAACCAGAATAAAATGTTAATCCTTTAGATAGAAACAAAAAACTATAACCTTCATAACACAGTTATCACTAGCTTTAGTTAAATGGTTTATTTCGCCTTAACAATTTGAAATTCAACCTTGTATTATTGAACTAGACTAGCGTAAGAGTTATGAATAATGTCAATTATCTCTGGGGATTAACAAATTGGTTAGATTCTAAAGGCTTTACCATTTTTTAGAAGAATGTACGTTAGTGAAACCATATCAAATAGACATAGTTCAAACAGTTACTGTAAATTGAAAGACATTGCCATGAATGCTATTCGATAAATTCATAAAACACTCTTAGCTAAAATTATTAATGTGTCTTTTTGTGTTCACTGACATGGAATCATTCAGATATTAACGTACTTATCAAATTCTACTTCAGTTCTAAGTATCTCAATTTGTATTCACTAATTTGATCTTTTCGTAACATTTGCAAAGTATTCATAATATAAATTTAAATAAAGTTTTTTTCAATTCATTTATAAGCACGAGCTTCAGAACGTTGTCAAGATCGAATGTTTAATTGTAAACGAGATGGTCGTCAAATTCCAATGGCTTTTGTATGTGACAAGGATCGAGATTGCAGTGATGGTGAAGATGAATTAACTTGTGGTAAGTTTGTTTAAGACAGACCACTAAAGTTTCGAGATTCAAATTTAGCACTGTTCTTTAACAAAAAACACAGAGTTTTCAAAAATATTTATAAAGATGACAAGCCTAATGCATCTAAAAGTATATGAATTCAATACTTTTATTATATCATGGTAGAGCTGATGCTTGAAGTTTTATTAATTTCTGGCCAGAAGTATGTCTTCTATTGTGGGTGTATAAAAAAGCGTTATCCATGGTCATTTAAAAGATTTAATTACTTTTGTTGATGTACTTGAATTACATTTTTAAAAATACTATACAGAATTAGAAACAGTTTGAGGATATCATCAAGAAATTATGATTTTTTCTACAACGACACAATAGATTCCTGTCAACAAATAAATATGAGACTCCTCAGCAGTGCGCATCCACGAACCCGCTCTCGCGAGATTCGGACCCAGGACCTACGAGTCTCGAGCCGAAGCCCTTAACCGATAGACCACTGAGCTGGCATCCAACGGTGTTAATGTCTAACTTTAAATGATCCACGAAGTTGAGCAACCATTCACCAATTGTCTTCAGTGAGTCCCATAACAGGACGAAACGGCCGTCCAGTGTTTCCAGGTTTTCCATGGTGGTCTAGCTTCAATTGACTCACGCTTTCAACTATAATAAATACCAAATCTCCACAAAACCCCTTCTATAAATAAATATGAATTGAAAAACCCAATTTGTTTACTATTTTAAAATGAATCTTTGTATAGTATAATAGGATAAGATGATTAATTTCAATTAATAATAAAAATTAAGTTGTTCATTGAGCACTTACTTACTACTTACGCTTGTTACCTCTCACCGCCCACCAACACTCTCCATCCAACTCTGTCCTAGATAATCCTTCCAGTTCTTCCCATTCTCCATTCATCCTTTTCATGTCTTTTTATAATTCCCGACGAAGTGTGTCCTTCGACCTTCCTCTTTTCAGTTCCTCTTCAGGGTTTGCTTTGTTCATTGAGTAATTTACCTATATTTTTCTCTTTGAAATGCTTATAATTTTAGACTACACGTTTTTTGCAATATACGACTGTATCATCTAATGATACATAAATGGTAATATACAAATGTTCTAAAGTTCACTAATACCCTCTAATCGAAAGAAAAAAGTATGTACTTAATAATCAGTAACTGGCTACAAAATATATCTCAATGGATAACTGCATTCAATAACTTCATTATTACACCCTACAATTATAAATATCTACTAATTATATCATAATGTTCAAAATAATTGAAACACTTATAAGTTATAGGTGAACTTAGATAATGTCACACATAAAAAATGAATAAACCTTTGCATCGGTTCGGATACATCCAATATGTGTCATTTGTAAAATTGACAAGTCGTATAAGATGAAATAAGAAATTCATCAGAAGGTGGTTAGTTATAATCAATATGGTGAAATCATGTGACAATGTATAATAACAGAAACTGTTTAAAAATCCCTATCATATTCAAACACTAATATTTGTGTTTTAATAAAACAAATGTTATAAGAGCAATAGTAAAATCATATGAAACACAAATGAGTAACTAATTAATGATATTTCATTGGAAGTGGACAAAAGTCAATATTATGTAACTTCCGAAGTGTATGAACTTAATGTCAGTCAAGGTAATCCGAAGTTGAACGTACCCGTTTGAGTAGAGATATTGAGTTTCCCTATGATGATCCTGACGACTTCAAAGACAAACATTGCACCTATTGGTAGATTACTTATGATTTGATTAGTAAATCTAGAAGGCTTCTAATTTGGTACCATGTTTATAATTCCTCAGCTGAAAAATGATGGTGCTATTAAATCTGCAACATATTTTGTGAACCCACTAACCAATAAAAGGGAGAATAAAGCTGATTCAAATAGAATCCGTCATAATCACTTATCCTCCGTGCATTACTTACGAGTCGATATAACAATTTCTAATTACCCAATTTTATAACTTGAGACGCTACCATAGAATTTTAATAAACACTAAAGATCATGAGTCCATTGAAGCTAGACCACCATGGAAAAACTGGAAACACTGGATGACCATTTCATCCTATTGTGGTACTCCTCAGCAGTGCGCATCCACGATCCCGACTCGCGAGATTCGAACACAGAACCTGCCAGTCTCGCGCCAGAGCACTTAACCGACAGACCACTGAGCCGGCATCCAACCGAGGAGGAGTCCCACAATAGGACGAAATGGCCGTCCAATGCTTCCAAGTTTTCCATGGTGGTCTAGCTTCAATTGACTCATGATCTCAACTATGTAATATTCCTAAATCTCCACAAAACCCCCTTCTGAAAACACTAAACAGTTGACAAGGATGACATTAACTATAACCAAATTCTTAATCAGTTTAAACCTTCCGTGTAATGTTTTAATTGTTCACCATTGATAAATTCTAAACTAAAACAAGATTCATATTCTGTGTTTTCCAGTTTTTAATAGTTCATTCACTAACATCAAATATGCTTTCCACACAACCTTTAAATTTATATATATATATATATATATACCAGCTACCTGGAAAGTGAATGAGATAAATCAAACATAAATTATAAAATGTGTAAACCAGTTCAAAGAAAAATTAATACATAAAAACAATTATTACATAACCTATTTCTTGGACTTTTGTTTAAATAAAGAATTTAACTATTTATTGTAATAATAATTAAATTTAAATAAGTAACCAAGTATTTGAAAAATATCTATCCATGATAAGAAAATTTTACCATATATGTCTTGTAGATAATATAAATTTGGTATTTTATGGATATAATTATTATGATGTATAATAATTTAATTAAACTAGATTATTCGCTTGTCGTTTATTCAACTATAAAGTTAACACTACAATTAAGGTATGTACTACTGATATTCACAGATATAAGTAGTATATATCATCACTCGAAAGTGAAATACTTGGCAGTAGAAGGTTAAGAAGATCGAAGAAAAAAGAACTAGAACAGAGAATAATTGATGTGGAAATAAAAGAACAATTAAGTCTGACACAATTGATTGACATTTTACAAATGAAGTATTTACTGTATTATTCTCAGATTTCACTAAGAGAATCTGTAATTTTATATTCAAATAGATCCGGTTGTTCCCAATTTGTGTGTTCTTCTTCACCACACAAACAAGTTGTGTAGTTATTCATATATGTTTTAGAAATATTTGTGTTTTCATGTATATAGGCTAACAGTGAGATAAAATAAGATTTTAATTTTTCCTACATTACATTATGACAATATGCCTGTTTGCAGGCATAAATAAAATACACACATTTACACAACGTACTCAAAAATTTCAAAATGCAAAGTAAGACTGATACAAGTAGATAGTAATTTAATGGCGAACTTTGTAGTTTTGGGAGGCGCCTAAGCTTCTATAAAACTGAAAGTTCCATGCTTTTGATTATCAAATATCCTACTTATCTTTCATACTAGGTGATATGAGTTCATATTTCATTGGAGGTAATAATCCCTTTAAGATTCCAGATGAGTTATACTATTGAGTACTAACTGGCATGAAATGTAGGTGTACAGTCAGGAAGAAGAAAACAGTTATAATTATATGTTTTCCCTATTAACAGACCGGATAAACCATACAAATTATTATATAAATCTAATAACACTAACTGAATTTTCGTCAAAATAAATTAGTTTACGTTACCTCAAACGTGGTTCATTCAATTTGATTATCTTCCAGATTAAACAGATTTTATTTCTGTTAGATGTGTAATGATAATTAGATTGGTTATTATTATCATTGTTGTTAAACTTAACGAAGAACATATTTTGGTCAGAAATTGATATTTGATCCTGAATTCCAAGCTTAGTGAAAGGGCTCCTAGTACATTATAATAGTATGTATCCAGTCGAGAATAAGGAAAAAGGTCTCTTATTAATTAAAAAATTCATAATCTTCTAGCCTATTTCAAATAAAGAATTCATTGTTTAACCTTAAATTAAATGATGATAAGTGGCGTAGACTACAATGATAAGTCATTTAGAATAATAATAAACAATATTCGTGATTAATAGATGCCTCTGCCTAATTACCAGTCATCAAACTGAGTTCATAATCAAATGCTTAGTGGTAAATAACAAAAGCTTTCATTATAAGTGAAAAAATTATAATTGAAATAGTCTCAGTGATTGAAATATAAATAATTCCAACGTTTCGTCCAGCTAACTTGTCTGAACTTTTTTCATTGTTTTGTAGTAACCATGAAAATGATCCGGTCAGGTTTGAAATAAGCTGACTTAAGCAGTTTCACAAATATTTTACTAAAATATCATTAACGTCACCTAAATTATTATTTTTGTCTAAAAGGGATGCTTTAGAATCTGTAGTATATTCACGAACTTAGTCAACCGTGGATATATGACGATAACTAACTAAGAACTTTAGACTTACTTACTGTTTTCTGTCAATTATGACACGATTTAATTTGCAACTGTAAAGAGTTATACACTTGATCATCTATTAGTATAAAATTAGTGAATATAAACTATGCATCAGTTTCATGTGTAACACTATTACTCCTATCAAGATCTGAGTATCAGTTTTCTCAAGGCCCAACAACTGTAAAGTAAAGCCAAATATTTCATCGTGTTTACCTAATATTTCTACTCAAGAAAATGTGACTCACCATAATCCCTAATCCCTACATTTAAAACAAACGGTCTGAGTGTCTATAATATTGCCGTTAAACAAACAGTTTTCAAAGACATTTAGTTAATATCTTAATATCATTCTTGTGTGATTACTTTGAATAACTAATTTAACTGGTAATCACTACTTTATAGCTCCACCAATGATTGCAGAACCACGCACTACACGTTATTCTGTTCGTAGAGGTGATACTGTAGTACTTGTTTGTGAAGTCACTGGCAATCCTGTACCCTATGTGATATGGCGCTTCAACTGGGGATGTCTTCCTGATGAGCCTAGTCGTTTCAGAATAAGCAATGTACCCAGAAACTGCGATTCACCAATGCCAACTGTTGTGAGTACCCTGACAATTTCAAATGTAAGACCAGGAGACGATGGAATTTATAACTGTGAAGGTCTTTCAGGAGCTACTCGAGCGTTATCCAATGACTTAGTTGTCATGATCGGAGGTTAATTATTGTAAGTGGTTATTTTGATTGCCTAACATAATTTTTAAATTTCTTTGTTTCCGAAGCTCATATATTTTTCATGTTTCTAAATGAGATTCACATTAATATATCCTTCATGTTTAAATCTGTGAATCAAAAAATATTATCTCTCTATAAAAGCTTAGCAAACCTTCTGAAGATCACGAAAAATTCAATGTTATGTGAGTTTTGTTAGTCTTAATTTTAATCGTTGTTAGAGGTTAATATTGAAAATATAACTTCATCCATACGAAAGGGGTGTGTAATATCAGGTAAATACTCCATAAACAAAATGTTCAGCTATTTACTTACTTACTTATGTCTTTTACGCCTCGTGCTGCATAAATTACCAACCAAATTTTTCAACCAAGTATGTCCTATGCTCTCCTTTCCAGTTTTTTCTAAGTGCTATTCATTTTTTTCATGTTGGCCTCCAAGTCCCAGATATGTAGAGTTTTCCACATCTTCCGTAGCTTCTCCATCGAGTGTGATTTGGTTAGTGCTGGTGGTGTTGTACTTTTTCTCTTGAGTATATAGATGTGTGTCGCTGTAGAGGCTGCTGTTACACTAGCTGTCTTCCTGAATGTTTTGCTGTAAACAGGACAGAAGAGTTAAGTAATCTGAAAAGTCCAAAACGTCTAACTGCATCCAACTCTCCATTGTGTTCCACGCTTTCACTGAGATGTGAAGGTTGTCATAATCCATTCAACAACCAGAAGAAAGAGAAAAGATGGGAGTGAGCTGTCTTGTTTGAAACCAGTCATCAACTTAAATGCATATGTGAGCTGCCTTTTATACATGACATTGCAATTCGGTCCTTCTTCGGAGTTCCGCATTACTTTGATGATGTTTTCACGAACACCATAATGTAGTATAAGATCCCACCCAATTATCCTGCCCACACTATGGAATGCTTTCTCATATTAAATTACGTTAATGTACAGTGATGAGTTCCATCCAATCTATTGTTCATCAATAAACTGTGGCGTTTCAATTCGGTTTATACATGCAGATGATTACGTAATCCGGAAGTTGGAGTCATTTGGTTAAATATAAAAAGCATATGTTCAATACTCCATTTTCAACACCTCCATCAATTTTCTCGAACTTCATCGTTCCTTTATCGCCATAATAATTACTCTCTTTTTCCGTTCTCTTCGATATGATTTTCCCAACCTTCTGCTGTCAGGCATTCCAATTTTGATTGATGATATACACTACTTATGTCGATAAATATAAGTAGCATACATCACAAAACCACTTCCAACTCTCGATTTATCTGATGACCTTGCTGACTTATTTTTAATGAAGTCTACAGGAAGGTCTGTAGGTTTTGTTTTGAGGCCCAATGGGTATAGTGGGGCTGGACCAGCCCAAGTGTTCTACCCACCTAGTCCGCTGTTCTTAAACATCAGTGATTGGCATGCCTTATTTGTTCCTGACTGGTATCTCTCGTTTACCATATTTCCCTGCTAGCTCCTTCATTTTATCATAAAGTTATCTCATATTTCATTCTCTCGAGTTATTTTTTGCTGTCGTTCCTAGGTCATCCGTGTATTTGAGTTTTTCAGCTTTAATACCCTTCTCCACTCGTTTGTTTACCACTGCATATCGGCTTTCTCTGCTTTTGTTTATTTATTATAGACTGCTATCTCTCTGACTTCCCTTCTGTGAATATTGTTCAGGATGTCTGAAGGGATCCATCCTTTATGCTGGTGCTTGTTTGGCTCCAGAACCTCATGGCATGTTGAAATTGTTGCCCTTCTCATCCCTATCCAGTTCGCTTCTCACTTCTTCAAAAAGATCTCGCAAGACTTGGGAGTTGTTGAGAGCTATTTGGAATTCTCTGAGCTTCTTAAGATGTCGACAGAGGAGTGTATTAAACTTTTGTGTTGTTTCTTCTCCAATTTTTCAATGCGTTTTTATCTTTGGTTTTAGCTTGGTCACCAGTAGATGGCGATCAAAAGCTATATCATTTCTTTTTTGTTCACGCTTCTTACGTGAACCTTTCTAGTTCGTATAGCCTCATGATTTATTCCTACTCAATGCTCTCCATAGTGTGTTCAGGTGTGTAGTGTTCAGATCTACCATCAGGTTGGTCAGCTCTTTTCCTGAACAGTTCTCTACGTTGGACTTCAGCTTCACAAAACTAATTTTTAATCCCTTCATTGTCATTACTGTTAAGTGTTCAGCAATGGATCACATTCACTCCCAACTCATCCTCGTCTGCTTTGAAGGATATTTTGACAGTCCCGAAGCAGTGAGATTTCCATCAGGAAGCGCTTTCGGGTTTCTTTTGACAGCATCAGTGCAACTCCTTACGTGTGTGATACAATTTCTTATTCATTACTAAAATAAAGCGGCTTCTCTTCCCAAGTTAGTCTTTCTGTTCAGCTCGTGTACAACTGTTTACACTTATCTTAAACAGAGCTACTTAGTATCTTCTGGTTTCCACCACTATTTGAAAAGTTTTCCCGATCTCCCACATTGTGTGGAGACTCCATGCACCTACACTGATTATCACAGTAGACATCGGCACTGTGATTTCGGAAATACCTTGACTTTCAGCATGAGGCGTCGTAACCCTTCTGGATGAAGAACTTGGAAATCACAGAACAGAGTGTAAATGATTTTTTTCTGGTCAGTACGTTTTTAGTGAATTTCTTTTTTACGGGGTGAGGTTGACAACCTCATACTCAACTCACCGTTACCCGAATTCGGGATCAGCGGCAATCCTAAAAGGGTTCCCAGTAGAGTATACAGAAAACCGACAAACAGATATTAAACTATAAATTATCTGAAAAATTCAAATCACTGCATCAAAGTCCACTACCTTTTAATTAATTTTCACCTGGAACTTCGATCGGTATTTAATCTATCACCCTTATGTCTCGGTGTGAGCATCTAACTTTGTCTACAGAAAACAAGTCTTATTAATCCCGAAAACGGACGTGCAAACAATGAATTATCCTATTCACAGAAAGTAAATGTCTTGCAAAATGCTCATGAAATTGCTGCAGTACCCGCCCACGAAGAAACGGGAAACAAATCGAGCAGTATATTGGATACAGTGGCGCCAAATGAAATTAATCATGATACGAAAGATGTTTCTAATGAATCTAATGATCAAAATTCTGTAATTGTTCTACCAGATTCAGATTATTTTGATGATTCATATGTTTCTGTTGAATTCTCTTATAAAAATGAGAGAAAAATGTCAGATGTATTTAATGATAATCAAGAATCCAATACAACTCTCATAGATACTGATTATCCTAATGATTCATTATCTACTAATGAGGTTCCGAGGAAATTCAAGGAAACTATTTCAGAAGAATCAAATGTTGGTGACCTCGAATCAAATGTCGTCGATCCTCATGATCTCTTCAGTTCCAATGCATTCCCTGTTAAATGTGACAAACATATCGCATTAATAGTAACTTCGCTATATGAGGATCCAACAGTCTTTCGTGGGGGAGGGTGAATTCGAGAAAATTAAAAATCCGGATATGAACTCCGGATTTCTCAAAAAGGGGAGGTGTTGTATCCCCTGGCGAATTATGAATCATAAATCTGAGGTCCATTTATGGACAAATGTAATACGCCTATTCCTATTGGATAGTTGTTAAATAAGTGACCTAATCGTTTCCGTGTTCCTCTTATCATAACCTTTATTTTGACCTTGGAACTACTATTATTGATTACTTTCCCCCTAGCTACAGCCACATTGGCCAATTACTGTACAAATGTTATTTCTCTATTTTTGATATATGTGGTCTGTTTGGTTAGTATATATAACCCAGTATGCTTGTAAATAATGATTCATATTGCTGAGGCTGTTATTTGTGTTTTGGACTTAACGGCTGGGCTAGGCAGATAGGAAGGATCGAATAGCACCCAAGACTGCTCGTACGTATTTTCTGTATCATTGCACGTTCATATATATTATAAGGGCCCAGAAATCTATACGTTATAACAGTCTACTTATATCCATATAAGTAGCATATGGCGATGGTCAGACATAGAATGTATTTTGGCAGAAGACCAATAAAGAAAGAACAGGAATGAAACGCAATCGATACGAAAATGCATGAACAATAAAGTCAGAGAAGACGGACTGATATTTGCAGAAGGAACAGTTAAGATTGAGACGATTGATTGTTATTTTGCAAATTAACTGTTTGCTGTATGGTTATTAGAATTTAGTTAGATAGTCTGTAATTTGTGCTTAAATATATTCGATTGTCCCCACTCGTTTTCTCATTCACAACAGTTCAACCTGAATGAGTTTTAAACTAGTAGAAAGCAGTTACCAGCTGCTATCTTATGTTCACTGATCTATCAACTAGACTTTGTTTATGATGTAAAATAACTAAACACTAAAAACAAACCTAAAGGTAAACAATATTAACACCTTTAGGAATAAGTTCTAAAGTAAGCATTCATCAAGAAAACCACTGACTAACTTAATAGTAAACAACTGAATATGAATCATATTCATTTGCCATGCATTTCGTAACTGGTATATAACACACTTTCTACACAATCATTTTTATTTCTTTTCTATTCTTTTGTTTCTTTTTAGTTATCAGGTTTGATGAAAAAGCCGATAAGAACTTTCAAAAACAAAAAGCAAAAAATTGAATTTATTTAAACAAAAAAAGAGACATTTTAGAAGTGTTTTTTTTTGTTTTAGTTAATAAAATTCCTACTAAGTTTGAATCTATTTTAATTCTTTTCAAAAGATAATTAAGTAAACAATTTAAACAAACAAATTTTCTAAGTATATATATATCTGCAGTTAAAAAGACATTTAGCTATATTCAAAAACAGTATTTATTTTACATATTTATTTATCAATTATGATATGAAAATTGAATGTTCAATGGATCAATTCAATATTCAATTATGAATTTCATTTTTTTTTAACTTTGGCTAATCACATCTAGTAATTTTACATTTCCAGATAATATATATAAATATGATTATATACTGTCAGTTTATTTTCATTATTTGAAGAAAAAATAAAGAAAAGAGGAAAATAATTCAAATTTGTACTGAATGTGATTGGTTGCTATGGTAACGCGAAGTTAATAATAGAACTGTTTAATGTTGAAGATTTTGACAAACAAATGGTATATATTCTTCAACATTAATTTTTATTAATTTTTTCCGCTTAATAATGATGAAAATTGAGTTATTAATCTTAATTAATTATAATGTTATTTTAGAAATATTTATGCTTAATAATATATTTTCTCATGTTCAAATATAAATGTTAATATTTCTTTGAATTAACCACGATCTAACTTTGGGGATTAAGTTTCTTAGACAACTAATTGATGTTTCCTAATAACAACCAAGTATCCATGACAATTCATATTCAGTAAGCACCTTAAAATACGTAAAAAAGGATAAATAAAGTCCGAACTACCTGCCATCAATGCTTTTTGAACAAGAAACATCAGCTGGTTAACGGTAACCACTGAGATTTGCAATGAAAAAATTTTGCTACATTTTCGGCAAAATTTTGTATTCTGAGCTACATGGTTTCACATAGAATCTTCCTTTTTTTTCTTGGACATCACCATCAGTACCCACTTCAGGTGAAAGTGAGTCTTTCAGAATTACACTATAAGAGCTGAACAAGTGTTTTTTTTACTACTATATTTGCTACTGGTTGTGTCTGTAAGCTCCGCCAACTTTGCATATTTTTAGATTCTAGTCAACTGTTTTGTTCCGTTAACTTCTAATCATGTCATTCAGTGACCTTTTTCATGTGTTTGGATAAACTGGGTCTTTGTTGTTATGATTTTCGGCTACAGGCTGAACCAAACATCATACTTTTCTAGGTTTTCTAACATTTTTGGAATTTTCTGGGACCATGTAGAACATGAAATCATTACTTCTGTTTAATAGGAACTATTTGAGTAAGCAGTGTTATCTAGTCATTAGTTAAATGGTATTATAAAACGACGAGTGTATCAAAATGGATTAAAACAATGTTTTCTATTACATCTGAGCCAATTTACATGGCAAAAGCTCAAGCAAACAGAACATTTTCAACAACATTACACAACCAACAGAAAGTTCAAAGTCCATATCTGTCAGTTGGTAGAACTACCTTAAGTACCGATTGCTGATGTTGTAATTAAGTTTGACGGTTTAACTGAGTAACCATTGCGAACAGAAAGTGGGGAAAAAATCAAAGTACCAACGAATTATTTTGAAATCATGTGAGTTTGATGAACATCAAGATAAGGAAACCCCCGCGGGCAAGTTTTGAAAAATTGTATTGTGCAACATCCACACTTCAGTTGTCGGAGATCTTTCTAAAATGGAGTGGCAAAGAGTATTGACCCTACCCATCCGAAAACTTGAAAATTCCATTGGAACCGGGCATATAGACATGCTGAACTATATTATAGAAAGTTAAAAATATATTTGATGTTTACATCTACATTACTTTGATAAATTCCACCCTTTGCAGTTCACTCCTAATAATGATCCCCATAATCGCTGTCGGTTCAGTTTGCACTCACCCATTTGTATATGACCTTATTAGGACAAATTCAATCTAAGCACAGTGTCCGACCAATAACTTGACACCCCTTGAACCAATAAATAAACTTCACAAAAGAGAGCAACGATATCAGACAGAATACTTCAGAGGCTATTATATAAACAAAAACTACTAACCACCAAATTTTTTGCTTTCTTTTAACACACCTATAACCCAATGAAACCAGCTAGGTAATCGGAAAGTACTCTATTGCACTCCATCTTCAAAACAATAACTCTATTTTGGTCCTTAAAACTATTGCCCAGTAAGTTTAGCTAACATAATTGTCAAGATTCTAAAGAGGTTATTTGAAAACAACTATTTAAGCTATTGGGATTGAGATTTTAACATTTCGAAGAATAGCATGTTTTCGAAGTTGGTTACACAGGCTCCCAAGTTGTTAGTAGTAAAGAAACATCTGCTGGTATCCTAGATCACAGGTTACCAAAAAATGCAATTTTCACTCACTTCAGTGACCGTTATGATGAAATTCTGAGTTAGGCAACACTGGGGTTGGGAGCAGTTTAATGCCGCATACAGTTGGCTTCCTAATTGTTTGTTTGGAAAACGGTAATTAGCAGAGTCTCGCAGTGTAGTCGTTGACAAGCCTTCTTTTGTTTAAGTAAAAATAATCTCTAAAGTCATTTATTCCATTCAATCTTGATATTTGCAGACTGTGAGGTTATACAAACTGAAAGGAACACTATAGATCTCTTAAATGCTACAACAAATTATTATAATTATCGAATACATGTATCAAATTACTTCTTTTGCAAACACATGATGACTTTTAGGGTGATGTCACTCAAGACTCGAATTTCGCTGCATAGTGCTAAGTTGAAGCTGTTATAAGAACTTTGAAGAAATATATGGCTTGTTAAATCACCTGGATACGAGAATGTCTATGACTTTGAGTAAAATAACTGGTCACCCACATTTTGAGTGAGCTAAGCAAACATCCATCCCCTGCCCTCAAAAAGACTGTGATCTGCTAGGTGAATAAGTCTCTGACCTCTTGTATGATGAACCGGCTACTATTGTACAGAAAGACTCTAGGTGGCCCATTCACCACTTCCAACCTATATAACGAAAATTACGAATTAATATTTTTCGTTTATGTTGCTCTCAGGAACAGAAGACTTATACCCTAAGATACACAGTATGCTCTAAAAAGCTGTCATGACTGGTGAAAAACTATATGGATTGTATGGATTGCAATTGACTGCTTGACTTACCTGTTTAGTATGGCAAATTAACACAAACCAAGTTTACTAACGTGCAGCCTCAGCGGGGATACATTAAGAACTAAGGTATCTGTTAAGTCAACTATGGGTTGTTTCACACACAAAACGTGAAAGAACTCCCAATAAAACTCAACGATAGGTCATTTATGGACCGGTTAAATCAAGCTGAATTATCAGGACTACTAAGTACAGGCTCGTTATCAGTTGCTCGTCACCTGATTACCAAATTTTTTTATCGAATCATTTAAGAAATAAAACTTTTACCTAAATAAATGACCATCGCTCCTTCAACAAACTCATTTGGGGACATCTGTGGCCCATTATCTGACTCCTATTTGATCGTATGTTGATTACTAATGAAATACACATGTCGCCAATCCTCGTATATAATTATCGATTTAACTGGTGTTAGCGGATAACGGAATTAAAGTAATTCAAGTACGATAATAGAGTTTTGAGTACGTATATTTTACACAGTTTTTAGTTTTAACAATCAACCAGAGAAACGAAACAAATGAAACGAATCGAAACGGACTGATGTACGGTGGAGAAGGCGTGTGAGCCAACTCGATTTAACGAAGTGTGAATCGATATATATAGTCAGGAAAAACTAAAATACAGACATGTGATGATTAGGATAAGAAATACACACGCATATGCTTACATAAGAACAGTCAAGGTTGATAAACGAATAATTAATAAGATCAAAATATGGCTCAACAAGAATGAATAAGTTTATGTTCCCAGAGGCTAAAATATTTTACGCAGGCTTAACATAGTACCAGACCCTACAGGTTAAACAAAGCATCATCGTCATAATTAAAAAGGACCTTTTATTATTTAGACTTCTTTGAAGTGAATATGTAGTATTTAGCTGAACCACCAGACAATATACAGTGATCTTCTTTCTTCATCGACTAAGCTGGGGGAAAAACTCGTTTCAACCATGATCAGGCTATCTATACAGTCAACCCAACTGCTTTGCAAGTTGTATCCTTTAATTTTGATGACATGAACAACAGGTAATTATAATTGTCTTTTATATATTACTAGCAAAGAAACCAGTTGCACATTTTTTGTGATGGTCATATGATTCGGCGCTTAACAGCTAGAATTCATTTAAATGTAAAATCGTCCCCAGTCAGTAATTCCACTACACCTAGCATCCCATAAACTTGTGCATAGTTATAGGTTATCTGTGACTTCCTAAAATCTTATGCCACACTGTTGCTTAGATGGAGTTAAAGTGTCTGCATTAGTGACGTTACTCCTTAAAGGGAGTAATATTTCAGGCAATAATGACTATGATGAACTGTTTCCATTTTTGCCGCCGTTATAGTGTTTAATACTGAACATAGACCTCAGCCTCTTATCCAACTCAAATTTACAATGTCCAGATAAAACTACATGCAAGGACAGATATATATCCCGGTGAATAATGGAGCTGGTGAACATCATTGTTTATGTTTTTAGCACCGTTTCGGGCATATAGAATACTGTCAACTTGAGACATCAGTTGTTCTCCAGGCCTTTTACAGTCAAATAAACCCTGCAATAAAAGCTCTGTTTTTATCAAAAAGTCAGAGAACTTCAGTAAATCTCTTGTATTATGTAGAAGTGAAGAAACACCTACAGGTTATGTAGTTGAAATAGTCTAATGTTTGTTGATTCACACTCGCGTCAAATTTTCACACCCTTGTTTGGACGGAGTATGCACTGTGAAGAACTTCTAGAAATAAAGTTTGGTGGATATTATTCACTGTGTTATATTTTGTTTATTAATATACATATAGTTTGCATTTCGGTATATCTTTGTCTGAACACTCCCTACTCTTGTTAAAATAGTAGAACAGACCATCTCGTCGCTTCAATTTTTTAACAAATCCCGTATTTGTCCATTTTTCTGGATCAGCATTATTATAGTTCTTAAAGTATTCGTAAATAATATGAAAAGAAAAGACCTACAAAATATTCCACTTCATCTCTGTAACCCGCCAACTGAAACCTATATGCATTCTCTACTTCGGTAGACCAATGAGATGCACGTCGCATCCCAGTTGGCTTTGTATTCTCCATTTGACCTTTTCAACAAAGTTTAATTTATTGTTACTATGACAACCGTGGTTTATGTCTACGTGCTCAAAAACTACTTGAATAACTCGTAAAAACCAATCATTTTGTGTACACTCTAATCTTAATTTTAAGAAACAGTTTCAGATTTGAAGCCATATCACAGGAAGTATTTTAGCCACTCGACTGCCCATTTCAAGTAAAGTGAACAATTATTTGAAAATATTGAATGCCATATGAGCTAAGCTTACTACTGTCTCGAGGTTTGCGTAGCACTACGTATCCGTTGGTGATCTGGTGTGATGCATGAGCAAGTGTCTTCAGTTAAGGTATCTCAGGTCAAACTAAATAGGTCACCATCAATGTCGAAAAGATGAAGTATTATTTGACTTCGCGACTTATTTACCACCACAGATGTTCTAATTTTTTGTCTGTGTTTAGGTTTCAAAACATTAGGGTTGTGGAAACTAAAGACCATTATTTCACTGAGGTATCTTTCGATTGTTTGTAATAAGATTCTGAAACTGCAGTATAAAGGAATGGATGGGAGACAGTAATTATCGGTAACTCATCCAATATGGTGAAATTACATCATATGAATGTTGTAGTTATAAATAATTCCCCAAAATCAATAGTTCATTAAGTGTTCGACATTGGATGCTGACCACGTTGTTTAAGTGGACTTGTTTAGCTGAAGGCTTTCAGTCATGCACCCGTACCAGATCACTTTGCAACTCGGCGTGGGAAACAGCTCCTACGTTTCAATAGTCAGTTAATAACGAACGCCTCTCGATATATTGGTAACGTATCAAGTATATTTTTCCTATCTCTTCTCATCTGACTTCTGATTTCTATCTGACTGGGAACGATCGAACATAGAAGGTGCTACTGGTAACTAGTTGTAAAATTAGAACATCCGTTGCATCCTCAATATCAACTAAAATAAGCTAACAGACGAAAATTATAGAGTTTAATATAGGCTGGAATCATTAATCACAAAAAATGTTCAGTTTGTCACAAGATATATTGATGCTCAGATCAATGAATGCAAAGACTCCCCATTCTGCCTACTAATATCTTCATCTGTTTGTAATGCTCGTGAAGTGTTACAGAACTTGCCAAGTCGTCCGGCAGTCAGCTCACTGAATAAAGGACAATTCGGTGAATCTCGCTTGGGTCAATGACAACCAACGCGCATCAATCAATTGCTTGCCAAGGACTGTCGCTTACAGCAGTTTTCTCACTCTCTTTGTACCTTCTCTTATCCGAAAGTTTCTGTGATGCCATTGTTTGTGTTGTACTACCACCAAAGTAACCATAGTACATGAGTGTAATGAAATGGTAGTCCAATTTGGTATTGACCATGCGGTGTGAATTCGACGTAGGCTAACTGATACTGTCCTACTGAAGTTGTCCTCGCAGACAGAAATTTGATTTAGTTTTGTTGGAAATATTCTCCTTAACTCACAAATGCTTTATTGTTGTATTTCTTAGCCAATTTTTTGTATCGTGCGTTGATTTCCACCACATAAGCCCTAAATGGCATAACATAGCCTGTATATTTGAGGTGTTTCGTATTTTTCTAGATTAAATTTACAGTGCTTTGTAATCACATAAAGTAAGTCCAAGCTTATTTTCATGGAACTATGGAGTACAGATGATGAACTCAAAACAACTGTCAACCAACATCAAATTCAGAATATTCAGTACAAAAGTCAAGACTGTTCTACTATACGGAGCTTAAACTTGAAGCGCTACCACAACGAACATCAAAACGGAACAAATATTTGTAAACAATTATCTACACAAGGTACTCAATCTCCGTTCACCAGATACCATCAGCAACAGTCTAGTGTGTGGGAGAACAAACCAGCTTCCATCTGAAGAGGAATTTAGGAAGAGACGATGGAGTTGGTGGATAGAACATACATTACGGAAATCATCAAACTTAGCCACAAGGCAAGGGCTAACTTGGAATCGGGAAGTGAAAACGAAACGAGGAAGACCATATGCCGAGAATCAAGAGCAGATGCGAAAAGGATGAATAGCAACTGAAAACAGCTGGAAATGGTTACGCACAGCAGAGTTGGATATGGAATGCTAGGGGAAGGACAGTGCTCCTCCACTTGGGGTAACAAGTGTAAGTAGGTAATGGGCGTGCACGTTGCCTTAAAAAGCTTCCTGTACCACCAATAAGCGAGTAGTTTAGTATAGTCGAATAATGCTCCCTTTATTGGTTCACTTTTCGTATTGAAATTGAATAAATGCAGTTTGGCAGTTACAACCTCAGGCTTTACAGTAATCATCAACAGATAAATGTTTAGAATGTCCGGCAAGCACACCGAAAGTTTCATCTTAAACTCAGTGTTTGGCCGCTCTGTTCTATAATCAGTAGACTTCATGAGCGTAGTACCTTTTGCTGTTCTCAGTGGTATATTTACAAACCCGGACATTGGTCAATCGCTTTCGTAAATAAACTATTCTTCCCTTATTTATCTAGGTGTCGAAAGTAATAAAGTTTAAGGTAAAACATAACGACATACGATTATGAGGTGAACGTGACTAACATTTAGGATCAATTCACTACACAATACAATAACGGCCCAGTTTACAGATAGGGTTGACGGTAAAGGAAACAATGAAGAAACAAATAGAACCTACAATCGGACGTCAGAATATAATTTGAGTAACACGAAAACTTTTGCAGATGAGTTTAGTGGACTTGTAACAAGTTAGGTTGATTGGTTAGGAGTTGCGAGAGAACATCATGCTAATGTCTGAACATTATAGCTTAAGTATTTATTTACTTCTTTACTTTGTGTGGGCATCGTATCGCCTAATATTCTATATTGTATGTTGAAAAATTTATGTTTGAAAAAGAGGTGTTAGTGGGATATAGATTGGATTAAGCATGTTTTATGCATGATGGTGTTGCTGCGCGCTGATTGGTTAATTTTAAACACGATCAGCCCGGGCATATTATTGCAGAAAAATCTATAAGCTTCTTATGCATATACTATAAATATATGAACGATATTTAAACTATTGATTGCTGATTCCTGTTCAACGTGTTCTGACTTTGGGGTCTTGTTGAGTCTCATCGTATAAGAATACTAAGCAATAGGAACAGCTGGATCATTTATATATCAAAAACCACAATTATAACAGTGGCGACGAGGAAAAAGGAAAATTCATTCAAAATGCCTATATCAGATGACCAGCTCAGCCGAATACTACAGCAACAGCAAGCACAACTTGACGCACAAATGCGCCTATAAGAAACTCTGACGCAACAGCTTAACATACACTACTCGAGTTCAGATGCTACTACAAGTACTTCTTCTTGTGATGCAGTTGCCAGCAGCATCCCAGAATTCTATTATGACCCCGAATGTAGCAATACATTTCTCACGTGGTTCAAGCGTTGGGAAGACACATTTAGAATGGAGTTCTGTAATCAAGACGACGCATGGAAGACTCGACTGTTGATGCGCAAGTTGGGAAGTCATGAACATGCACGCTATGCTGATCATATAATACCAAAGTTACCTCGAGAGCTCAGTTTCGAGGAGACAGTATCTCAGCTGTCAGAAATATTCGGTGAATCTTCCTCATTGTTTAGTATTCGCTACCAGTGTCTTAATTTGGTGAAACGAGAAGCCGATGAATCTGGTGTTCTAGCAGACATCGTCAACAGAGAATGTGAAAAGTTCAAGTTACGCTCGTTGAAAGAAGATCAATTTAAATGCCTTATATTCATCAAAGCTCTGCAGTCACCACAAGATACTGAGATTAGAACCAGACTTCTAACTCGTTTGGATCAAGATCCTAACATCACACTCAGAACGTTAACAGATGAGTGTAAGCGGCTACAGAACATCAGACACGACAATCGGTTGATTGAACAGGTAAATCCTAATTTAACCTGCAGTAGTGTCAATGCTATTACTAGGTTAAAAGTTCAAAAACCGAAAACAAGTGGTAGCAAACCAACGACTGCATGTTGGTTATGTGGTGATTGGCATTATGTACGATTCTGTCCATTCAAGAAACATAAATGTCAGATGTGTAACAAACGTGGGCATAAAGAAGGGTGGCCCTCGAAGATCAGTTCAACAGAGCTTCAGCAGTTTTATCAGCGCAGATTATCTCTTTCAATCATTGACGATTGTCTCATGTTTGCTGAACGTGCTATAATCCCAAAGAAGTTGCAACCGGCAGTCCTCGAACAGCTGCATGCAGGGCATCCTGGAATAAACCGCATGAAAGCTCTAGCACGAAGTTATGTATACTGGCCACAATTAGATACCCAACTCGAGCAGCTATCTCGTTCGTGTACAAAATGTGCATTGGCAGCAAAAGCACCACGAAAAGCAAAGTTGCAATCATGGCCGATACCACAGTCACCGTGGCAGCGTATACATTTAGACTTCGCTGGTCCATTCCATGGACAAACTTACCTTCTGGTAGTGGACGCATACAGCAAGTGGCCGGAAATCTTCATCATGGAACATCCAACTGCAAGCTGCACAGTCAAAAAGCTACGTCAATTATTCAGCCGTTTCGAGGTACCAGAACAAGTAGTCAGCGACAACGGCACACAATTTACATCATCTATCTTTTCAGAATTTTGTCAGCAGAACGGAATCAGGCAAGTCCGAACACCTCCATTCCATCCACAATTGAATGGTCAGGTGGAACGCTTTGTTGGTACGTTCAAAAACGCCCTAAAAAAATCAAGAGGGAAGGGTACCACCGACGAGATCTTAGAGAGGTTCCTGTTTATCTATCGTTCTACACCGAACCCTCAAACAACAAATGGGGTCTCTCCAGCGGAAGCGTTACTTGGCAGAAGAATAAGGACACATTTCGATGTCATCCGTCCGACGCCAGCTCGTGAACCCCAACGAAACTTACCGATGGAGAAGCAGTTCAATCGACACCATGGGGCACAAAGACGATTGTTCACGGTGGGTCAAAAAGTACTTGCTATGGACTATCGTGGTAAACATCCTACGTGGACAGCTGGTCGGATCGTGAGAAAGAAAGGGAATGTGGTTTATGAGGTGTCAGTTGGCTCAGAAGTTTGGATGCGTCATGCTAACCAACTGAAATCAACCTCGATCTCCAACAACGAAACGCAGCATAGATCACCTCTGATGCTCTGCTAGACACGTTTGAGATCAAAGCACCTGAAACAGACAGGACAGTCAAGGTGCAAACGAAGGATGATACAACGTCCTTATTACCTAGAAGATGGACTAACCGGAAGCGCAAACCAGTAAAGAGGTTGCAGTTGGACCCTAACACCAGATC